TGGTCAGAGATGTTATCTGTGGTGTCTGGTCATGCTGATCTTAGCCATTAGACTGATGCCCTTTGGATTTGGGCATTTTTGATCAAGGTGAACTTTAAAATGACAGTGCTTTTCCAAGATGGCAATGCTCCTGCTCTGCCAGCAGCACTGTGCACCATAGCCAAGAGGAGAAAGCAACTTAATGACCATGAACAGGTGAACAGATAAATAAAACATGGTATACACTTATAATGGAATATTATTCAGCCTTAACAAGGAAAGATAGCCTGTCACATGCTACAACATGAATGAGCCATAAGGACATTATGCAAAGTGAAATAAGCTATTCACAAAAGGACCAATACTGTGTGACTCCATTTACAGGGGTTATCTAAAGTAGTCATATTCATAGAAACAGAAGGTAGAACAGTGTTTACCAAGCGCTGAGAGGAAGAGTGCAGGAAGAGTGGGTTAACTGGTATAGAGATTCAGTTTTGCAGGATGAAAAACTGCTGGAGAGCTGTTTAACCACAATGGAAATGTATTTAACATTACTTTAACGCTACTGAAGTGTACACTTAAAAATTGTTAAAATGGTAAATGTTATGTGGTTTTTGTACCAGAACAGAAGACTGCAATGAGATGCTTTTATTTTTTTTATTTTTTATTTTTTTTGAGACAGAGTCTTGCTCTGTTGCCCAGTCTGGAGTGCAGTGGCTCGATCTCAGCTCACCACTCCTGGGTTCAAATGATTCTGATTCTGCCTCCCAGGTTCAAATGATTCTCTGCCTCAGCCTCTTGAGTAGCTGGGATTACAGATGCCCACCACCAGGCCTGGCTAATTTTTGTATTTTTAATAGAGACAGGGTTTCACCATTTTGGCCAGGCTAGTGTTGAACTCCTGACCTCAGATGATCCACCTACCTTGGCCTCCCAAAGTGCTAGGATTACAGGTGGAACCACCATGCCCAGCCTACAATGAGATACTTCTACATACCTTTTTTACCTGATAATACCTAAGAGCTGGCAAGGATGTGGAGCTAGTAGAATTTTTATACACTTCTGGCCAGGTGCGGTGGCTCAAGCCTGTAATCCCAGCACTTTGGGAGGCCAAGGCGGGTGGATCACGAGGTCAAGAGATCGAGACCATCCCGGTCAACATGGTGAAACCCGGTATCCACTGAAAATACAAAAAAATTAGCTGGGCATGGTGGCGCGTGCCTGTAATCCCAGCTACTCAGGAGGCTGAGGCAGGAGAATTGCCTGAACCCAGGAGGTGGAGGTTGCGGTGAGCCAAGATCGCGCCATTGCACTCCAGCCTGGGTAACAGGAGTGAAACTCCATCTCAAAAAAAAAAAAAAAAAAAAAGAATTTTTATACACTTCTGTACATCAGTAGGATCATATTAGGAAACTGTTTGGCAGTATTTACTAAAGCTGAGCTTACCCCATTATCTATCAATTCTATCCACAGATATATATCAAAAGGAAATGTGTACATATATGTTCCAAAAAGTCATATTCAAGAATGTCCACAGCAGCATTATTTGTAACGGTGAAAAGCTATAAACCATGGAAATTCTACTTAAAAACATAACCAAGACAGTAATATCTTGTGACAAAGTCAGGATTAAGTGAGAGTGCAAATGGAAAGCCCATGTAGTCATTTACAGTAAGACAGACCCTCCCCCACCCCACCACCACCACATACACTGAAAACAAATAACAATGCTGGGTTCAAAACACATTTTTCGGGCTGGGCGCAGTGGCTCATGCTTGTAATCCCAGCACTTTGGGAGACTGAGGCAGGTGGATCATCTGAGGTCAGGAGTTCATGACCAGCCTGGCCAACATACTGAAAATACAAAAAAAAATATAAAAATACAAAAAAAAAAATACATTCTCTACTAAAAATTAAAATTAAAAAAAAAATTAGCTGGACACCATGGCAGGTGTCTGTAGTCCCAGTTACTCAGAAGGCTGGGGCTAGAGAATTGCTTGAACCCAGGAGGCAGAGCTTGCAGTGAGCCGGGATCGCACTATTGCACTCCAGCCTGGGCAACAAAAGCAAAACTCCATCTCAAAACAAAAACAAAAACAATTTTCACAAGCACATGCATTAGCTGGAACAAAACAAAGGAATGATCAGGCATGGGGCTGAGTGACAACTATGATGCTGGCTTTCATTTTGAGGCATCTCTCGTGACCAAAGATGAGAAATCTACTAGGAAACTGTTCTCCAATAAAGCCAGGACTCCAAAAAGCTGACTCCACAGAATAAGCTAAACCAGAATCACATCCTTTCCTCCCTCTTCAAAAGACTGCCAGGAAAACTGTCTCAAACCTTAGTGTTAATGGAGAGAGGTTAACCTGAGATTGTAACCAAAAGCTGGCTCTTGCCAGATTAGATTTCCAGACCAAATTCACAGCAGCTGATGGCAAAAAAACAAAAGTGCTGGCATTTAGTTTAAAGACTGGCATTGCCTCTAGTTGCCTGGTAGAAATAAACACAAATACTCTCTTGAGGAATCTGTCTTCATCTAAGACTTGAAAGAATTCCAACAAATAAATTTCCCCCCAAAATGAACAACTCACTATAAAAAAATCACTAAACCCATAAAGAATCAAGGCATGAGACACAATAGCAGAAACCAGCCAGTAAAAATTTCAGACATTGGAATACTGGACATACATACATACATACATACATACGTAGAAAGATGCATAGAGATATATAAAAATAATTGGCCAAGCATGGCGGCCCACACCTGTTATCCCAGCACTTGGGAAGGCCAAGGCAGGTGGATCACTTGAGGAGGCCAGGAGTTTGAGATCAGCCTGGCCAACATGGCAAAACCCCATCTCTACTAAAAATGCCAAAAATTAGCCAGGCATGGTGGTGTGGTACGCACCTGTAACCCTACATACTCGGGAGGCTGGGACAGGAGAATCACTTGAACCTGGGAGGCAGAGGTTGTACTGAGCTGAGATCACACCATTGCACTCCAGCACTCCAGCCTGGGTGACACAGTGAGACTCTGTCTCAAAAACATAAAATTATTATTATTATGCTTATGTCTCAAAAATGAAAAACAAGTTTGAGCTACAAAGAATAACTTTTAGAACTTCTACTAATAAAAAATATATTTGCTAAAATGGAAAAGTCAAATAGAGTAGATTAAAGCAGAATAGACCCAGCTAAAGAAAGAACTATTAAACTGAAAGATAGGCCAAAAGAAATTACCCTAAATGTGGCAAAGAAAGATAAGGAAAAGAAAATATGAAAAAGATATTAAGAGACATGAAGATAGAGCAAGTTGATCTATATCATACATTTAATAGTAATTCCAGAGGGAGAGAAGAAGAATGGCATAGAAGAAATATTTGATGAGAACTTTCCAGAGCTGAGAAAAAGAATCCACAGATACAAGAATCCTAAAACCCAAAATAAGATCAGTAAAAAGAAACCAACATCTAAATATATAATAGTGACACTGATAACATCAATGATGAGAATATGTTTTAAAAGAATTGAAACAGAGGAAACAGATCACCTTTGAAGAAGCCACAGACTGACAGCTGACTACTTGACAGGGACAATGGAATTCAGAAAATAACTATTAACCTGGAATTCTATACCCAGTGAAATTCTTTGAAAAATAGAGCAGGCCAGGAGTGGTGGCTCATGCCTGCAATCCCAGCACTTTGGGAGGCCAAGGTGGGCAGATCACCTGAGGTCGAGAGTTCCAGACTAGCCTGGCCAACATGGTGAAACCCTGTCTCTACTAAAAATACAAACAAGTTAGCCAGGCATGGTGGCACATGCCTGTAATTCCAGCTACTTGGGAGGCTGAGGCATGAGAATCACTTGAACATGAGAGATGGAAGTTGCAGTGAGCCAAGATTCCACCACTGCACTCCAAGCTGGGCAACAGAACGAGACTCTCTCAAAAAACATAGAGCAAAATACAGACAAGCAAAAACTGAGAGTCTGTCACCAAAGGACATTGAAGTACTATACTCTAGGCAAAAGGAAAGATATCTCAAAAAGAAGTCTTAGGCCGGGCACAGTGGCTGACGCCTATAATTCCAACACTTTGGGAGGCCGAGGCAGGCAGATCACCTAAGGTCAGAAGTTCAAGACCATCCTGGCCAGCATGGCAAAATCCCATCTCTACTAAAAATACAAAAAGTAGCTGAGCGTGGTGTCAGGCACCTATAATCCCACCTACTTGGGAGGCTGAGGCAGGAGAATCACTTGAATCTGCGAGGCAGGCGTTGCAGTGAGCTGAGACTGGGCCACTGCACTCCAAATGGGCATCAGAGTGAGAGTCCATCTCAAGAAAGAAAGAAAAAGAAGAAAAGAAAGAAAAAGAGAGAAAGAAGGAAAGAGAAGAAAGAAAGGGAAGGAAGGAAGGAAAGAAGAAAAAAGAAAGAAAGAAAGAAAGAAAGAAAGAAAGAAAGAAAGAAAGAAAGAAAGAAAAAAGAGAGAAAGAAAGAAAGAGAGAAACAAGGAAAGTGTTGGCTTTTCCAAGCAGGAGTGTCAGCACCTGGGAATGGTCCTCAGCACACAGTTTTATGGTTGTCTCTAGAAGCTCATTCAACCTGTGAATTAAAGCACCCCTGAAAATGGGGTAGGCGGCCCTCATCTGCATCCCTATAGTAGAAAAGCCAGCCTTGGTTAGCTTAGCCTCACAGCAGCCTCAGCTCAGGGTTTCAGCCCCAGATCTCCCCCACCCACGACCATCACTAGGTTACTCTCCTTTGGGGACATCAGTGAAAGCAGCTCTTTCAAAGGCAGAGGGAAAAGGAGCTTCCTGGAGATTGGGGGGCCACTTCAGCTCCCATAAAGATGCGTCTCCTGACTTCTACTGTGGCATCCTGTTCCCCTCGTTCCAAGCAGAGGACAGTCCCAGGATCCCGGGGGCTGTGAGCCCAACTGTCCCAAGCATGGGAAGAACAATCTGAACAAACAACATTCATTCTATTCTCCTCAGAGTTTGGAAGTGATCACTTGTTTTATTTTTCTGCAAACTCTGTGTGTGCTGTTCCTTTGACTTGTTTCCTTGGCAACAAAGAAAGAGGAATGACGGTGCTATCAGAAAGAAAGTACAGGTTGTTTGTTTCCTCTTTACATCCTCAGGGGGGCTGAGGCTCTGGTTCGAAGCAGTCACGACTCCTCCGTTCTAAATAACTCACAACAGAGACATCCAGACTCCCCTAGTTCTGTTTAATAGGAGAGAGGGAGGGCCCGGGCTGAAGCACAGCTGGAGGAGTTTTGCACTGCCACAGTGAAAGGCAAGAAACAGTTCTGCAGACACAAAGCCAAGTTAGATACCTTCCCGGCAAACAGCACCTCCACAGTTGGTCTTCTGCCGTCCCGGAACGCCCCAGGTCCACAGTGACTGCTGGGCCCTCTGGCCACAAGGCAATGACCAGCTCACCTGCGCTGGTCACTTGGCTCCTGGGTCTGAGAGGGAGGGGGGGTCTTCTGCCACTTGGGATTTGCCTGCAAGCACCTGCCGAACCCTCTGCATCCCTAAAAAGGGGAAGCAAGGGGCCGGCTGGCACCGATGGCATGGTGGGTGGGGACAAACAGCAGAGGCCAGAGTGAAGGCTGCAGTGAGGACTGGGCTGGGAAGGTGGGCTGCTCACCCAGGCGAAGCCGGTGGGCCTGGTCCGAGAAGACAAAGCGGAACCAACCAGGCTCTTTACACTCAAAGGCTTTGCCGAAGGACAGCAGCACCTTGTTGTCCAAAAAGCGGCGCCAGAGCAGCATCTCCTCCTCAAAGGTGCCCTTGGGCAGGTACTGAGACGGGGGCAGGTGCTCAGGACATAGCCGAGCCCCCTTACCTGCTGGCGGGAGGCCCGGAACACCCTCCCAGCCTGCACCTGCAGCGGCATTACCTTCCTCAAGTCCACCCAGATGAAGAAGCCGGCCCCACGACTCAGGAAGGGGATCCCCAAAGCCCTGAGCTCTTCCGAGACATAGGTGTGGGCAGCCTTGAGCCGGGCATGGTTTTCCGGCAGGTACACCTGGTTGATCCAGTCTGTTCGAATGAAAGAGAGGCCAAAAGATTAATCTCCCATCAACCCTCTACTGGGTCCCGCTAGGCTAGACACTGAAAAGAAAAAGGTCACAGGCTGCCAGGATGCTGTGAGTCCCTCCTCTAGCTGGTTGCTGTGGTGGGGAGGATTGTGGAAGGGGAGGGGAAAAAAGGATGGAAATTCAGTGTTCAGTGTAAAGCACCTTAAACGCAGATACTCAGCCCCAACAGCTCTGGGTCCCACATCTCCTTCAGGAGTCCAGAGCACAAAGTCCCCCAGGATAAAGAATCGAACCAAAGGTCCATCTAGTTCTACAGTTCTAGAGTGGTGCTTTGTAGTCCCACAGACCAAAGTTCAGTTCCCAGTGTGGCCACTGACAAGAGGCGGGTCCCTGGGCACCTTCGCCTCTCTGATTTCCATTGTTTATACTGACTTTTCGTTGTTGCCATACAGTTCTATGCATTATAGTACATATATACGTTTATGTAACCACCACTTCAGTCAGGATTCTGAGCAGCTCCACTATCCTAAAGAATACCCTGATGCCGTTCATAGTCACATCAGCCCCTTCACTGCAAGCACCGATCTAATCACCATCACTGCAGTTTTGCCTTTTCCAGAATGTCACGGACTTGTAATTATACGGCATGAAATCTTTTGAGGCTAGCTGCTTTCACTCTGCAGGATTCCTTTGAAATCATCCCATGCTGCCAGGGATTTTACTGCTGAGTAGTATTCCATTGAGTGGAGGGGCCGCGGTTTATGCATCCCCACATCTGTGGAAGGACATTTGGGTTGCTTCCAGTTATGGATGATTATGAATAAAGCAGCAGTTATGGGTGATTATGAATGAAGCAGAGGTTATTGTGTCACCATCAGGGTCAATATCTAGGAGTTGAATTGTGGAATCACTTGGCAAGTGTGTGTTGAACTTTACAAGAGATGCTGAACTGTTTTCCAAAGTGGCTGAACTACTTACACTCCTACCAGCAATGTATGAGACTTCCAGCTGCTCCTTGTCTTTGTCAACATTTGATATCGTCACTATTTTTAAAACTTTTAGCTACTGTAGTGAGTGGGGTAGTATCTGGTCCTCATTTCCCTCATTTGTAAAATAATGGGGAAAACACAGGAATTCTTGCTTCCCAGGACTCTGGAGAATTAGACGATACAGCAGATACATTTGCTAGGCTCTGTAAATGGTGGCATTTACCTTTGCTATTTAAACTCATTATCTGAATCTAGGAACAGAGTAGATTCACAGCGAGAGAGATATTTCCATGATAACAATTTTTCCTTAGAAGCTTCTGCTCTGTTTTTGTTGTTGTTATTTTCAAGACAGGGTCTCACATTTGCCTGAGCTGGAGTGCAGTGGCATGATGAAAGCTCACTGCAGCCTTGACCTCACGGGCTGAAGTGATCCTCCCACCTCAGCCTCCCAAAGTGCTGGAATTACAGGCAAGAGCCATCATGCTCGACCCTGCTCTGTTTTTCAAGTGCTCACAGCTAATCATAATGAGTTCACATTAATCAAGTGCCTATTATATACCTATTCTAACTGAATTACAAATCACACCAACCTGTTACAAGACAGGTACCATTATGATCCCCCTTTTACAGACAAGGAAACTGAGGCTCATACAGATAAGGAGGTGAAGCAAAGTGCCACACAGCCAAGAAGTGACCAAAAAGGGGATGGACCGAGTCTGGACCCAGAGCCGGCACTCTCAAACCCTACGCTAACTTCTTCTCCTAGGAGAAGCAACTGCAATTCCTGGCTGTTCCCAGGCTAACTCCAACCCTCCTCCCATTCTCAGGTCACCAGGCCCAGGCAGTCACCACGGTCCCGGAGCAGCTGTGCCATCTGGTACTGGACCAAGCCACTGAGGCCATGGTAGCGGCAGAGGGAAGCCACAGCAGTGGCCACGTCCTGGTTTTCTGTGTACAGCGTGGCAAAGCGGAGTCCAGACATCCCGAAGTCCTGCAGGAAGAAGCACCCTAGGCAGTGGCCAGCCCTCCATGGAGGAAGCTGGTTCCACCCATCTCCTTGCCCTCCCACCCTCCTGACACCCCCAAGAATAGGCAGGAACTCACCTTGCTGGTCGCCCACATCACATGGGTCCTCTGGGGGTCAGGCAGCCTGTAGAGCACACCGTGGGAATAGAGGCAACACAGAACCATGAGCCCACACGTGTTTGGTTGAATAAATGAAGAGATGGGTGATTGAATCTAGTTTTTGACTCTAGTTTTGGTTCCAGGACAAGCCCTGGTTTCATCTCTGAACCACCAATTCCCATGCGTCTTTTAGAGCAAAGGTCAGCAAATGACAGCCCATAGGCCAAACCTCGCCTGCTGCCTATTTTTGTAAATAAAGTTTTATTGGAACACAGCCATGCTCATTCATTTGTGTCTATGGCAAAGTTGAGTGAGAGACCATATGACCTGGAAAGCCTAAAATATTTACCATCTGGCCTTTTGCAGGAAAAGTTTGCTAGCCCCTGATCGAGAGCCTAGCTCAAATGTCACTCCCGCAAGATACTTTCCCTAACCACTGCCCCTGGGACCAGGCCAATCAGGTACCCTCAGCAGATCCTCTCACAGCTCCCAGGACGCTCCCTTTCAACATTCATTATGGCCATAAACTAATGGCTGGATGTGCATTTAGCTGCTCAAATTTTTTTCTGGCTAGAAATTAAAGTTCCATACAGGAAGGGCCTATGTCTTTCTTGTTCACTATTTTATCTCCAGCACTTAGCACACTGCCTGGCATGAAATCAGTGCCCAATAATTTTATTCTTTTTTTTTTGAGATGGAGTTCTCGGCTTAGCACAACCTCTGCCTCCCGGGTTCAAGTGATTCTCCTGCCTCAGCCTCCCAAGTAGCTGGGATTACAGGCGCGTGCCACCAAGACTGGATCATTTTTTGTATTTTAATAGAGACGGGGTTTCTCCATGTTGGTCAGGCTGGTCTTGAACTCCTGACCTCTGGTGATCTGCCCACCTCAGCCTCCCAAAGTGCTGGGATTAGAGGCTTGAGCCACCGCGCCTGACCTAATAATTTTTTTTTAATGACTAATAACGAACAACCACTTTTTTTCTGTGCCTCACTTTCCTAATCCAAAAAATACATGGGAGTAACAACCCATGCTCCATCTACTCCCCGGGGCTTTGTGAGGACGAGAAGAGAGGGCTAGTGGAACTGGCAGAGCTGAGCTTCTGAACAAACAGCAGGAACTGTCAGAACCCCTGAAGTTCCGATTCAGACTGTACACATGATTTGGTCCCCACTTTCTTTTTTTTCCCCACAAAAACAGAGCTCACTGTGTTGCTCAGGATGGTCTCAAACTCCTGGGCTCAAGCGGTCCTCCCAATTCGGCCTGCCAAAGTGCTAGGATTACAAGCATGGGCCAGCGTGCATTGAGGAGGATCTGGCCCAAGTGCTCCAAAGGCATTTTGGCCACAGATGCTTCTCTTACACTAAACCTAATGAAAAAGCCCAACATTTAAATATCCAGAAGTGCTTGGCACATACAAAGGGCACCAGAGATACTGAGTGAATGAGTGAATAAATGAGTGAGTAAATGAATGAATGAATAAAACTGGAGCTACTCTGGAGGTAGAGGAAACATCAAAGAGGCCAATTTCCCACCCACTCAGCCCTAACTTCAGGAATCCTGAAGCCCCTCCTGGGAGTTCTGAGAAGTTCCACAGAATAACTTGAAAATCACTGATCTAGCTCAACCCTCCCCACTTCTCCCTGGAGATCTGAGGATCAGTGGGATCAGCTGGGTGGAAGTGGAATTGTCCTGGGCAGGCCACGCCTCATGGGCTGAGCCAGAAAGTGGCCAGGGCTCTGTGGGATAATGAGGACTGGGGGAGTGAGCTGTGTCGGGGAACCTCACCTTTCCAGGCTTAGGACACTGCGGTACCCAACGGACTCCTCAAACACGGACAGCATGTAGACCTCGTCCACAATCACATGCAGCTTGTGCCTGGAGTGAGGCCGGCGGTGGGGAGGAGAGACTTAGTGTGCAGGGCAAACGCGTCCCGCAGGGTGGGGAGGCAATGCATCAGAAATCCAGAGGGGCCAGGGTCTAGCCCAGGGTTACCAAACTTGTTTTTACCAGAACACCCTTCTTTAGTCTATTTTTTCAAATAGAAAGCCACACATATGAAACAGGCAACAGAGGAGCTTTTGAAGCCCCGGAGGGGTGACAGGGAGCCCTCGGGCACCTCCATGGAGGGCCAGAGTCACGCACAAGGGCTGGAGTCAGAGGCCCAGGTTCAAGTCTGGCTCCACCCCTCACTTGACCACTCTAAGGCTCAGTGAGCTGGGCATGATAACAGCATCAGAACTTGAAAGGGTTGTTGTGAGGATTGTATGAGGCACATAAAGTGCTTCGCATGGTGCCTGGCCCCTACAGCATGCAACAATTGATAGCTATTGTTATAAAGAGTGAGAGAGAAAGGGGAATGGCATCCCACAAATCCCTGCTTCCCTGCTCCAAGAAGGGCCAAAGCAAGTAACAGCCCACAGCAGGGTGAAGAGGGTAGAAAAACGTGCACCAAACCCGCATCGGAACCCCAAGCTGCCCAGATCCTCTGTCGGGGTGAGTGGGCGGTGCCTTACCTCTTGGCAAACACCAGGTATTCCTGCAGCTCTTCCGGGGAGTAGACGTCACCCAGAGGGTTCTGGGGGTTGATGAGGATGACGCCTTTGACCTTCACACCCTGAAACCATCCGTTGGAGCAGGAGACCCTCAGCTCTTCCCCAAGGCCAGAGCCACACAAGCCAAGAGGCTGATCACTGGACGGCTCCCAGGGAGATTTGAGAGGGACATGTTCATAACCCAACATGCAGCAAACACGTGGGACACAGAATTACATCTGCAGCATCAGATAAAGGCAGAGGACAAGGCCCAGAGTGAAATATGCCCAAATGCCAGTAGTGCATCTTTGATGGTAGAATTTTGGGTGGGTCTTTTGCACTTTCAAAATTTCGACAGTGAGCATGTACAGCTTTCATGACTGAGGTAAAAAAAAATTAAGTAGGTTTTTAAAAAGTAGACTGGAAAGGAACCACTGGAATACTGGTCTCTGCTCTTCTTTGGGAGTCCTCAGATCCCCTCAAAGTGAGCAAGATTGCCCCCTCAGAATACCAGAGAGATTTGTTAAACCACAGACTCCTTCACTCTATACTTGACCCACTGGATCAGAACCAGACGGATCAGGGATGGAGGTATCTTTCGTGATGCTCTCTGGTTGATTCTCTGTGAACTGTATCTTTAGTGATGCTCCCTGGTTGATTCGCTGTGAACTGTATCTTTAGTGATGCTCCCTGGTTGATTCGCTGTGAACTGTATCTTTAGTGATGCTCCCTGGTTGATTCTCTGAACTGTATCTTTAGTGATGTTCCCTGGTTGATTCTCTGTGAACTGAGGTCTGAGAGTCTGTTTTGAAAGTGAAGACCCTCCCTGGGCAGGGTCCTGCCTGACTCTCAGAATAATTCTGTGCTGCCACCCTGCCTGCCTGTCCCCATCACTGGGTACCAACCCTACTCCCAGGAGATCAGCCACAAGAAGAGGGGTCCAGAGCCAGCTCAGACCCACCCACTCCCAGCCTTGGGTTTGATTTGATCCCCAGACCTCAGAGTAAGCTTCTCGCAGGGCCATCTCCAGCTTCTCCACTGTGAGCTGAAAGGGGCGTGTGTCTAGCCCAGTGACCTGGAAAAAGACCCATCAGAGCCACCAGCCAAATTCAGTGACCACTGTCTCCCAACACATAGGAACTCTCAGGACTCTCCTTCCCTGTAATCCCCAGCTCCTCAGAAGAGTCTCTGGAAAAGCAGGTGGGGTCCCTCCCTCTTACTGCCATCCACCCCCACCCCATCACATCAGAGACCCTCCTCATCACTCTTGGGTGCCATGCTTAGGTCTGCCCTCCCTGTTCCCACCTCGCTGTTTCTGGGTCTGGCTCTTGGCTTCTGCATCAACCCCAGGGATCTCAGAGACTGGAACGTTGGAGCCACTGGGGAACCCAGGAATGTGCAGCCACATGGCAACAGAAGGCTCCATTCTCTACTCATTGCAACCCAGAGCTCTCAGCATGGACTTCCTCCCATGCCCACCCTCAAATTCAAACTCAGGAAACTCTTGACCACAGGCAGGCCCAGGTTCCGCCTGGGAAGCCAAGACTCTTACCTCACTGTCCAGGTAGACATAGGCCAGTCGGACGTTGCCATAGAGACAGACGTGCTGTGTGATGGCTCCATAGTAAGGGGTGGGGATCAGGAAAGCCTCTGGGGGCAGGAGCAGGTGAGGGCCTGTCACTCTCTAGCCAGAACACCCCAGACCCTCTGTGCACTGTCCCCATTCCCTCGCCAAGCCTTTAACTTCCTTGGGGACCATTTGGGGCATGCTTGCACTCTCAACTCCCAAAACACTTTGGAAAGGTTGGATCCACTGAGGTCAGCCCCTCATATGGTTTGGCTGTGTCCCCACCCAAATCTCATCTTGAATTACAGCTTCTGTAATTCCCAGGTGTCATGGGAGGTGCCTGGAGGGAAGTAAGTGAATCATGGGGGTGGGTCTTTCCCATGCTGTTCTGGTGACGGGGAATAAGTCTCACGAGATCTGATGGTTTGATAAAGGGGAGTTCCCTACACAACCTCTCTTGCCTGTTGCCATGGAAGACGTGACTTTGCTCCTCATTTGCTTTCCACCATGACTGTGAGGCCTCCCCAACCACGTGCAACTGTGAATCCATTAAACCTCTTTCCTTTATACATTACGCAGTCTCAAGTATGTCTTTATTAGCAGCATGAGAACAGACTAATACAGCCCCCTTTCTAATTATCAACAGCTAACATTTGCTAAGCACTTAACGATGTGATGGGAACTACACTGAACATTTATTTGTATTTTACCTCATTTGCTACTGACAATTAGTCTTCAAAGCAGGTACTATTAATTATATTCTAACTTTATACATGGGAAAGCTGAAGCTTAGAGGGTTCCTGTTCTTGATTATTCTAGAATGGGCAGGAAATGACCTATTATTATATCCTTACAGTAAACTTCTCTTTCATGGTTCCTATCCTAGTTACTACCTCTCTTTGTGTAACTGACAAGGGAACGTCCTGTGTCTTAGTCTCCTCATCTGTAAAATGGAGGTAATCACAGAACCAACCTCACTGAAACACTGTGAGGATTTTATCAAATACTCTGCATAAAGCCTTAGGACAGTGCCCGGAACATAGTACTTGGTCAATAAATGTTATTAATATTCTTGCTTATTAATTAAGCTACCATGAAGGGGCCTCTTTTCCTTGCAACTAATAAGCCCTGACCATGACTGATTCTTAAAACAACCGGCTCCTGCAGCAGGCACTGCTGGCTGGCTGCTCACACAACAGCCATTCCTATTTTCTTCCATGCTAAGAAAGCACATGACCCACATCATGTCTCAGGAAGGTGGGCCTTCCCCTAGCCCTGGGGGACAAACCACATCCGGTTTAAGGCAACCCTGGTGTTCTTAGTCCCTTTTGCCAAGGACCATTTTGGAAATAGGTTTGTGAGTGAATTCCGGTGAGGAAGACAGAAGAGGGCCTCTTCTGGGAAACACTACCCCTATCCCCATCTCCTGATAAAAAAGAGACAGGCAGGGCACAACCACATCCCTTTCTTCCTGCTCTAAGACACACTGTCATGTGAGGATGCGACAGCCACCTTATGAGCATGAAGTGGCCAAGGTCAGAGCAGACAGAAAGCCCGGGACCCTGACACCACATTAACCTCCCCTGGAATTGCTGCTGACCCCTGGGAACCTTATCAAGTCACTTATTCAAGCGCCCTGCAGTCTAGTATATTCTATTGTGCCGGGAAGCATGTTATTGCAGCCCTTGAGGCCAGGCAACCGGGGACCCTGCAGGCACGATGTGGCTGACAGTGCAGGGCAGGCCTCAGAGCTCACTTACCCCCGACCTCGCACAGCACTGTGGCCAGAGCAGAGAACAGCGAGGCACCACCATTTAGAACAACCACCTAAGGGCGACGTATCCGAGGGATGAAGATGAACCAGTTCCAGGAGTCCGCGGGGACCCACAGCCTCCCAGGACAGCATAGAGGGAGTTCCAGGCCCTGCCTTGGTGGCACCTAGGGAAGGAAGGGAGGGAGGGAGGGAGGGAAGGAGGGAGGAAGAGGGGAGGGAGGGAGGGAGGAAGGAGGGAGAGAGGGAAGGGAAAGAGGGATGGAGGCAGGAAGGGAAGGAGGAGGGAGGGAGGGAGGGAGGGATGGGGAGGGGAGGCAGGAGAACAGGAAGGAGCAGTATTGGGATACTCACATTCTCTGGTCTGAGGGGTACTGGGCTCTTGCAGTAGAAAGTCAGGAACTTGGCTATTTCCTCCCGGAGGCTAAAGATAAGACAAACAGGCAGTGCGTGCCAGACGGTCCTCAACCCGCGGTGCATCGCAAAGCTCCTCTGGTGACTCCTCACGCAGCCGCCATCACTCTTCCCTAATTTCCCACGATGGGGGTGTGGGTGTATCTGTCTCACTCCTTGGCACCCACCTTCCCCTCCCCAGTACCCACATGTACGGCAGTAGTTCCAGGATACCTCCCCAATCAAGAGACTTCAGGGATTATCAAAAGTAACACTCTCTATGGAGATCTAGCTAATTATGCCAATAAACATTATTACTATGACATTAATTATTAGCACCATTATTACTATTATTATTTTGAGATGGAGTTTCACTCTTGTCGCCCAGGCTAGAGTGCAATGATGCGATCTTGGCTCACTGCAACTCCGCCTCCTGGGTTCAAGCGATTCTCCTGTCTCAGCCTCCCGAGTAGCTGGGATTACAGGCATGTGCCACCATACCTGGCTAATTTTATATTTTTAGTAGAGATAGAGTTTCACCATGTTGGTCAGCCTGGTCTTGAACTCCCAATCTCAGGTGGTCCGCCTGCCTCAGCCTCCCAAAGTGCTGGCAGTATAGGTGTGAGCCACCACACCCAGCCTTAGCACCATTATTATTGCCCATATTTTTTGAGCACTTACCTTATACAAATGTTATTCGGAAAACGTTTACTTTATCTTTATAATAATCCTATGATGTGGCTATCACTATCATTATTATTATTATTCCCGTTGTACAGGCAAAGAAATTACAAACTGAGGTTTAAAGGAATAATTAAGTCACTTGCTGGGAAGAGGCAGGGTCCTCACGCAAGCCCAGTGGTCTGAGTCAGGGCCGCCATCCGCATTACTGCACTAGAAGAACCTGGGCTTTGCAATCAGTCTTGGGATCCAGTCCTACTCAGCCGCTGAGCCCTAAGAACAGCGTCCCCAAGCAAGTGTTCAACAAGCGCAAGCTACTATTAGTGTTATTTACCATGTCCGCTCTTAGTATTAGGAAAAGGCCCCAGCCAGCTCCCCTGACAGCAATTCTGGCTTCTCTAAAGCTACCAACAAAGAGGGGACAGGGACGCCTTGCCTGAAGGCCCTCCCATGCTATAGCCCCGGGTTCCCAGAATCCAGACTAGAAAGCTCCTGTGCTGAGGTGGGACTGGCAGGAGACCCCATGGTCGAAAGGTTTCCATGACTAGGTCCTCAGCCTACCACAGGCTTCCTCAGCCTGCCACGACTGATGTTTCGGGCCAGGTCATACTTCTTTGTGGGGGCTGTCCTGGGCATTGTAGGAACTTTAGCAGCGTCCCTGACCTCTACACACTAAATGCCAGGAGCACCTGACTTCCCAGTTAATAACCACCAAAAATGTCTCCAGACAGTGCCACACATCCCCAGGGGGGCAAACTGGCCCTATGGCAGTTACTTACAACAGATGTCCCCTCCAGTCAGGGTACTGCAGCAGAGATGGCTCCACCCACTGCATGTCGCTCTGACTCAGCTGGGGACAGAGATGGGAAGAGCAAGGCTGAAGGCTGGCACTGCTACCCACATCCACGGCACAGGGCAGGTAAAGCCGAACGCTTGTTCTGCTCATCAGAGAAACCGGGGGAGGGACAGACAGTGACAGCTTTCTCATACCCATGTTGCAGGTGAGGAAACTGAGGTCCAAAAAAGTGACATCACTCAGCCAAGGTCAGAGAGCTAGCAAGTGGCAGAGCTGAGACAAAAACCCAAAATTTTTGACTCCTAGTCTGGGGCTCTTTTTTCTTTTTTCTTTTTTTTTGAGACAGAGTCTCACTCTGTCACCCAGGCTGGAGTGCAGTAGTGCAATCTCAGCTCACTGCAACCTCCACCTCCCAGGTTCAAGCAATTCTCCTGTCTCAGCCTCCTGAGAAGCTGGGATTACAGGTGCATGCCACCACGCCAGGCTAATTTTTATATTTTTAGTAGAGATGGGGTTTCACCATGTTGGTCAGGCTGGTCTCGAACACCTGACCTTGTGATCCACCTGCCTCGGCCTCCCAAAGTGCTGGGATTACAGGCGTGAGCAACTGCACCCAGGCCTGGCGCTCTTTATACAACACTGCCAACCTAAAAAAATTGGAGGGTGGGTTTGTAGGAGTAGTAACCAGAGACCACACTGGCCAATACTTCGTGGGGCAAGAGAAGACATTGAGAGCTCACACCTTGGTCTTGGCTCCAACTTCTAGAGGGACTTAAGCCACTGTCTTCCCATAAGCTCAGCCCAACCTCACACTTTGGAAAATGCAGCCGTTTCTAGACTGCCCACTCCATGACCGGGTGCTAGGTTGGTAACTCCTAGTATCATAGGTACTGTCTCAAAGAAGGACCAGCTCAGGGGCCTTGCGCACTGAGACCAAAAGGAAGAAAGGGAATCAGCCACTTCTGCATAACTGGATCCAGCCTTCCTGTCTCTCCATTCCTCCCTTACAGCCACACTCTCCAATATGGTAGCCACTGGCCACATGTGGCTAATGAACCTTTGAAATATGGTTCATCTGAAGTAAGACACACTGGATTTTGAAGACTTGGCAGGAAAAACATATGTAAAATATATCAGTAATAAGTTTTATACTGATGACATGCTGAAATGATCATACTTTGAATATATTGGGCTAAATAAAATATATTCTTAAAATTAATTTTTACCAGGCATCTTTTTTTTTTAATAGAAAATTTAAATTGATATATGTGGCTCACCTTTTATTTCAGTGCTTAGCTGCCTTAGAAGGAGGAGCTGGCTCTAGGTAAAACAGGCCTTTAAAATCTATTCCCTGGCACTTTGGGCGGCTGAGGTTGGGCAGATCACGAGGTGAGGAGTTTGAGACCAGCCTGACCAAAATGGTGAAACCCCATCTCGACTAAAAATACAAAAATTAGCCAGGTGTGGTGATGTGTGCCTGTAATTCCAGCTACTGAAGAGGCTGTGGCAGGAGAATTGCTTGAACCCAGGAGGAAGAGGTTGCAGTGGGCCGAGATCACACCGCCGCACTCCAGCCTGGGCAACAGAGCGAGATGCCACCTCAAATACATACATGCATACAAAAAATCTATTCCCTATCGCCCCCATCCCTTGGAGTTTAGATTTCTCACCTTTGGAAATATGTCCTTTTGGAAGCATTGCTGTCTCTACAAACCCAAACTCTGCCACTGCCGCTTTGAGAAACACATTTATTAGACATTATTGGTGGTTTACTAAGATGGCTCAACCCAGCTCAAGAAACTGGATTACAAAATTTTCAGAAATGTTCTAAGCTGTGTTAAAAACAGCTACTTTAAAAGAGTAAATCAATATAAACTGACAATGAAATTAAATTATCTTATAAACAAAGGCAATAAGCGCTCAACATCATCACCTCCTGATTTTCTAGGACCTTTTACTCTCTGTGCTTTTGAGGTCAGTTCTGTCTATGTGTCTGTATGGTGAAAATATTATATGAAGTGTGCCCGTGTGCCTCTTTCTAACTCTGCCTGCAGTGATATCACATCAGTAGCTTGATATCGGTCATACTGGGAGTATTTACACTATGGAAATTGGCAAAGCTACACATCAGGGCTCTTTTTTTTGTCCCCCTGAAGAGCTAATTGATAGATACCTTCACCACAAAGCACAGAGTGTTTCCGTCTGAGATCAGGGGACCTAACACGGCAGGAGGGACTAAGTGAAAAACAGTCTGCAGAGATGAAGAAATAGGACTTGAGTGGGGAAGTAAGTCACCTAAGATCACACAGAAAACTGTCCCAAAGTAGGCCTGGAACCCAGGTCTCCTGACTCTCAGGCCAGGGCCACTGGCCCAAGCAGCAGGCTCTTGGGAAAGCATTCCAGGGAAGACAGCTCCTCAGAGCTGGTGAGGCCCCCCCAGAGGCGTCCCAGGACTTACCCGCCTGGACAGCAGGTCGAAGCAGAGTTTGTTCTCACTGGTGCCGAAGTTAATGATGCCCTGGAGATGAGAGGTACAGAGGCAGGGTTAGCATGGCAGAGGGGTGCCAGTGAAAGGCCCCAGGAGCCCATGGAGGCAGCAAGGCAAAGTGGGAGCTCTCTGCAACCCCACCCTTTCAACCACTCCTCCTTGATTCTGCTCAGGGTGCGCCTTCTGCTCAGCTGCCCGATCCCAGCTTCCCATTTCTAAAGCTCTGTCCAAACGCCATGTCCTCCAGGAAGTCCCCCCTATAACCCCACCTGGAAAAGATCTTTCCTTCTTCTGGATCCCAGCACTTGATCTGTCCCCTTTAAAGCATGGTCAGTTTCCACCCCAGGTCACAGGAACTGATGTGCACGCCGTATCTCCCCTACTGAGCGTAAGCTCCCTGAAGGACAGATGTGTGCTGAAGACACCACTGTTTCTCTCGAGGGGCTTAGTGGGACTCAGTACACATTTACAGAATGAAAGAAAACAGATGGTGCATTGGCAGTGTGGCAGGAATAGAAGCAAAAGTGGACGCAGATCAAGAAGAGGCTCCTTTGCCAGTGCAAATACTTCCCCAGGAGACCCTGAACATCACACAGCACCTTGATCCCCACCCCACAGGCATTTATTGTCATAGGAGAGACAGGCAGGCATAATCCAAGCTGTTCCTTACAGAGGCCCCAGGAGACTCGGTGAAGGCCTCATGCACAGCTAACTCCTGACCCCTGAGTTATTGCAGGGGAAGCAAAGGAAGGAAGACGAAAAAGTAAAACCTGAATGAGCTCAGACTATAACAAAGTAAGAGGCAGTGCGGCTGCATGCCCTGGGAAGCAGTCTGTCCACTCATCCTGGCAGCTCTACCTTCAAAACACATGACAGTCCAACCATGACTCACTCTCCCCTGCTGGGACCCCGGTATGAGCCGCCATCATTTCTTATCTCTATGTTGCCACAGCTTCCCTCGCTCCGTGTACTCTCTTACCTGCCAAGTCAAATCTCCATAGAGCAGTCCAAGTCATCTTTCAAAACCCAAAATCAGACCACACTGCTCCTCCTTGGAATACCTCCTACTCCACTTTGTCCAAAATCCGATGGGGCCCTGTGGGGCCCTGCAGGACCTGTCACCTCCACCTTCCCATCACCTTTCTGATCCCATCACCTGCCCGTCTTGGTTTCGGCTTTATTCCAGCTCCAGTGGCCCCTCTGCTGTTCCTTGAACTCATCAAGCACCATCCAACCCTGGAGGCTTTGCACGGGCTGTTTCCTCTACTGGGAATGCTCTTCCCCTAGTTGACTGCAAGGCTCACTCGCTGTGGTGGGCAGCCTCTAAGGCCCTCGCCTCCTAGTATTCACACCCCTTGAGTGTGTGCCGGGCCTAGCGACATGCTTCTAATGAACAGAATAGGCAGATGTGATGGGATGTCACTTCTGAAGTTAGGTTATAAAGAGTCTGTGGTTTCCATCTTGGGTACCCATGACCTCTCACTCCCTCTTGGATCACTTGCCCTGAGAGAAGCCAGCTACCATGCCATGAGGCAGTTCTGTGAGGAAGCCCACGTGGAGAAGAACTGAAGCCTGCCAATAAGCATGAGAGTGTCACTAGAAGCAGAGCCTCCCACCCACTCCCCTAGCCCCAAGTCAATCTTTCAGATGAGACCACAGCCCCAGCTTCACAGCACCTTCACAAAAGATCTTGGGGCTGAGCGTAGTGGCTTGGCCAGGTGCAGTGGCTCATGCCCATAATCCCAGCACTTTGGGAGGCTGAGGTGGGAGGATCAACTGAGGTCAGGCGATCGAGACCAGCCTAACCAACATGGTGAAACCCCATCTCTACTAAAAATACAAAAATTAGCTTGGTATGGTGGTGCACACCTGTAATCCCAGCTACTCGGGAGGCTGAGGCAGGAGAATGAATTGAACCTGGGAGGCAGAGGTTGCAATGAGCCGAGATTATGCCACTGCCCTCCAGCTGGGAGACACAGTGAGACTCCGTCTCTCTCTCCCTCTCCCTCCCCCCCTCCCCCGCCACAAATCTTGAGACTGAAGCATCCGCCAGGATTCCTGAACCACAGAAATTGTGAACTGTTGTTTTAAGCTGCTAGATTTGAGGTCATTTGTCATGTAACAATAGATAACTAATGGCCAGGCGCAGTGGCTCACGCCTGTAATCCCAACACTTTGGGAGGCTGAGGCAGGCAGATCATGAGGTCAGGAGTATGAGACCATCCTGGCCAACATGGTGAAACCCTGTCACTACTATAAATACAAAAATTAGCTGGGTGTGGTGGCGTGTGTTTGTAATCCCAGCTACTCGGGAGGCTGAGGCAGGAGAATTGCCTGAACTCGGGAGGCAAAGATTGCAGGGAGCCAAGATCGAAACACTGCACTCCATGCACTCCAGCCTGAGTGACAGAGCAAGGCTCCATCTCAAAAAAAAAAAAAAAAGATCACTAATACAATCCCCCACTTTTTCAAGGTTTCTGCTCAAATGTTCATCTTATTAAAATAGCCTTCTATGACCTCCTTCTACTAAATAGCAGCATCACCAGCCCACCCATCATTCTCTGTCTTCCTTACCCTGGTTTATTTTTCTCTGCAGTACTTACCACCCCATATAGTATGTATATATTTTTTCTCTGTTCATTCACTGTCTGTCTCCCTAACTAGAAGATGAACTCCATGAGGATAAGAACTTTGTTTCTGTTCACATCTATGTGGTAGATGCTCAAATAAAGATTATTAAAGGTTTGTTTGTAACAGCTCTCTGACTTCTGAAGGTATTACAAGAATAGCTTATATAAGGGACAGAAAATATTAATAATAGCAGCTATCATTTATTGAGTAGCACTGTGCTAAAAACTTCATCTGCTCGCTCTCATTTAATCTTGTGTCTTCTGCACAGCAGGTATTATTATTCCATTTTATTTTATTTTATTTTTGTTTTTCGTTATTTTGAGACAGGGTCTCACTTCGTTGCCCAGGCTAGAATGCAACGGCGTGATCTTGGCTCATTATAACCTCAACCTCCCAGGCTGAAGCAATCCTTTCACTTCAGCTTCCCAGGTAGCTGGGACCACAGGTACACACGACCACACCCAGCTAATTCTTTTATTTTTATTTTTTTGTAGAGATGGGTCTTACTATGTTTTTCTGGCTGGTCTCAAACTCTGGCCTCAAGCAATCCCTTGGCCTCAGCCTCCCAAAGTGCTGGGATTACAGATGTGAGCCACCATACCTGGCCTTATTCTCTCATTTTAGAGATAACTTAAGATTCAAGGGGGTTAAGTAACCAGCTCAGCAACACACAACCGACAAGTAAAATAGTTGCAAGCTGAACCTTAGTTCTGCCCTAGCTTCAAAGCTGGATAGTTGACAGGTCGTGGGTCATAATCCAAAAAAGAACATTGTATGGTTCTTGAACTCCTCCCTCACAAATCAAGGTCCCCTATATTCTAAATGGGCCATTTTCTGATCCAGGCAATACACCAGGGCCTCTCTAAGCTACATCAGAAGCCCTCTTGGAGGTCAGAGAACCATAACCGCAACCTCACAAGAGTGGGCTAGATGCTGCCTTATTGGTCAAGGTAGGGTATCCCACCCTGCAGTTCCCTCTTGGGTCCCAGCGGGAGGGGAGCTCCACTTACACTGGGGTTCTTGTCCTCATCATACTCATCCATGTGGTAGGTCCTGTAGCCCTCCTCAGCCAAATCCCAGAACCATTTAATCATTCTTCCTCTAGAGGACAGGTATGAGGTACCAGAGGAGAGCATGGCAGGATCGCCCACTCCAGGGAGCTTCTGGTCCACTTTTCTAGAGCATTCTCCTTCCAGATCATCCCCATGGCTACTATCCATGTCCTGCATGCAGGTGAGGCCCAGACAGGTGGTGGGAGCCCTGAAGTTCTTTTGAGGAAGGGTGAACATCTGCAAAAAGAGAAAATGCACAGAAATCAAGGGATTTCCGTAGCACCAAGCATCAGAAAGGAGTCAGGGTCATGGAAATCCCCTTTCTCTTATCTGCCCCTTCCTTTAGGTTTATGGACTCAAATCCTATGTCCCTTAGTTATAACCATACGTACAATGATGTCAAAAAGAAAAATCTGTTCAGGACCTAGTGTGTGCCAGGGACTACGATTGCCACGTTGATGTGACTTAAATGCATTGCTGCTTTAGCGTGTTCTACTTCTGCAAAAGATTTTGAGTCGCTGCAGCCTCAGGGGTCATCAACATTCTTTTTCCATTCTTGCTCACCTCAATTACAAAATGCCAGGTTAAAATTTCCTGAGTTAAAGCAGAGCATTGCCTGGGGACCTTATGGTGTAAAGGGCAGGATGAGATTACGTGGTGGTCAGCGGTAGGTGGGGGAGGGGGTGGGAACTGAGGGGAGGGAAGAATGGGGGTCTCCACAAATGCAGGCACCACAGGCAGAGCTTCAGGGCCCGCCTCTTCAGTCTTGAAGAAAGTAAGTGTGGACACCAAGTAGAGGGTGGTCTACTCAAGCCCGCGGGTATGAACGCCTAGACCAAAGTTCAATAAACTGTGTCATTATATCATAACTCCTGGCCAGTTTTCCCAGTCCTGGTGCTCAACACAAGCTCTGACACACCGGGCGGACCAGAAACTCAGAGGGTACCCGCGTTAAAATTTGCTCCTCCAAGTCTTCTTGGGGCTCCTCTCTAAATTGGCTGGGCTCTCCCGAGAGCGCTCACCTCAGGCTCTCCAGACAGCCCAGGTCGGAGGAAGGGCAGCAGGGTGGGCGAAGTCCCGGGTGGTCGCAAAATCTGGTGCCTGGGGATGGCAAGGTTCGAGCCTCCGGGCTTCCAGCGGGACAGCGGCGAATCCACAGGCAGACACCTGCACCCGATCAGGCCTTGGAATCCCGTAAGAGAGGCAGCTACCACGCACCAGGAACCGAAATGGCCTTCTACAGGGGAGAGGACGCCTGGCGAGAGACGGCTCCAGGTTTACAGGCGGAGGAAGTGTGATCGGGGCCAAGGACTTTGAGATGGAAGGGCAGAGGCTTTTGCAAAGTGCACAGAGGGAGGCCTGAATGGCTTCTGCCTCTGCGAAGTGGGGGATCCCACCTACTTGGTGGAGCTGGAGGAGGGAGCGCTGGCACGCGTCACGTGTCAGTTTCCTCCGCCAGGAAACGCCCTCTAGCGCTTTACGCGCGCGGGTGAGGACAGCGCCCCCCCTGCGCTCAGCGCGCCCAGCCTAGGGGACCGAGGGCCCTCCTCCTCCTCCGCGGGCCGGCTTCCGGGGCTGTTCAGTGCGCAGTTAGTCCCTCGCCTACTCACTCCGGGTCTGCACTTTCGGGGTCGCACGCTGGGTCGCCCCGCGGGACCGGGAAAAGGGAAAGGGGCGGAGCGCCTGTTCCCACTCCCACTCTGGGTGGCCTGAGCTTGCGGGGCCGCCTCCAGGCCGGGTCAGCCACCTCCCTCTGCCTCTTGGCCTTGGTTCTCGGGTTTTCAAAGGAGGTGAGCGCCAGAGAATGTCTTGGCAAAAGAATAGTTGGCTGCGGCCTACACAAACGGCTTTTTAAATTAGGGTGCGAGCATCCTTATGGCCTTTCATTGCAGCTTGTGATTTCTGTCCGTTTCATTTGTAGGGGATTTTCTTTAGCCCTCATAGGTTCTTAGGTGGAGGAGACTCCTGTTACAAAAGACAAATTAACAAGAGAAAAACAGAAGTTTACTGACATGTATATTTCATTTATACATGAGAAATACCGAGGGAATGAGTTGTTCTCAAAGAGGTGACTTTGAATTACAGTTTTCACAGCGTCTTCAACAAAGAACAGTAATTTTTTTTAAGTTACAAGCAAAGAAATAGAACTTTGATTCTCTCTGGGAAGAATTTATGAGGTTTCAAAAAAAAAAAAAAAAAAGACAAATAAAAGCCATTTAGCAAGCTTGTTACTGTAAGTTCCTCTGGTACCATCTCCAGGCCATAGGAGTCTGAAGTAGTCTTTGTTCTCCTAGGTAGACAGAGGGACAAGATACCTTTTGTCTTTGTAAACCTATGTCCTACTTTTTGGTAAATAGAGCCAGGGTACAGAGCTTTCCTGAATCTGCTGCTGCTTGTCTTTAGCACAAGAATCCTTCACGTTTGGGGAAGGCATGTTCTGGTCTCCAACACGTGTCTGCAATATTTGTTCAACTCTGGCTAGGTGTGAACATGCCTGTAATCCCAACATATTGAGAGGACAAGATGGAAGCATCCCTTTAACCCAGGAATTTGAAACCAGCCTGGGCAACATAGGGAGACCATGTCTCTCCCAAAAAAAGGTTTGTTTTGTCTTGTTTTTTTGTGTTTTTTTTGAGAAAGAGTCTCGCTCTGTCACCCAGGCTGGAGTGCAGTGGCGTGATCTCTGCTCACTGCAGCCTCTGCCACCTGGGTTCAAGCGATTCTTCTGCCTCAGCCTCCCGAGTGGCTGGGACTACAGGCACGCACCATCACTCCCAACTAATTTTTGTATTTTTAGTAGAGATGGGGTTTCACCATATTGGCCAGGCTGGTCTCGAACTCCTGACCTCAGGTAATCCGCCCACCCCTGCCTCCCAAAGTGCTGGGATTATAACCGTGAGCCACCATGCCTGGCCAAAAGTTTCTTGAAATTAGCTAGATGTGTTGGCATGTGCCTGTGGGTTCAGCTACTTGGGAGGCTGAGGTGGGAGATTTGCTTGAGACCAGGAGGTAGAGGCTGCAGCGTGCCGTGATCGTGCCACCATACTCCCACCTGGGGTTGGTGAGACTTGGTCTAAAAATATATAATTTTTAAAAGTATTTTTCAAACTCTGACCTAAGCTCTACATATTCTGGCAATGGGTGCAGAGGGTACCAAGGCCCCAGTAGAGCTGCAATCTCTGAGGTGCCTTGAATAGGAAATTCTTTCCCCTTGAAAGGAAATAAGCAGACTCTCTCAGTACAGGTATGGCTGGGAAGACTTGGCTGTCTTCTGGCCATTCCACTTCTTGTCTTCACTTTCACCTTGCCACTAGCTAACACTGTGACCTTGAGCAACTCTCATGACTTTTTTGGCCCTCAGTGTTTTCTTCTCTAAGATAAGGAAGCCATCACTTTCCTCTATTTAAATCTTATTAGATGTAATTCAGATCTCAGTGAATGCCCGTTTTGTGCCAGGTCTCCGTAAAGTGTGAAGATACGGTGATGAGCAGGACAAACCGATGCCTGCATGGTCCACGGGGAAGGCAGACTTACAATGTGCAGACTATTGAAAAAAGACTATCTACCGGGTACCATGGAAGCACACAGCGGAGGGATTTAACTCCACCAAACAACAAACACAGGCATTTTTCCCACGTGGAAGACATACACACACATTATGTTAAATGCGAATTGACTAAAGATCAATTAAAAGATCATCAGACTGAGTAAAACAGAAGGAATCTAGCATATGGTGTGTGCAAGAGACACACTTTAAATATAAAAACAAATGGTCAAAGGTAAAAATGGGGGAAAAAATACCAAGCAAATAATCACCATTAAAAAAAAAGCTGATGTGTTCATATTTATCTGACATAGCAGGCTTCAGGACAAAAAGAATTACCAAAAATAAAATGGGGCATTTTATCATAATAAAATGATGAGTTCATCAGGATGACAATCTTAAAATTGTATGCTTATAATAACAAAGCTTCAAAATATGGGAAGCAGAAACTGACAGAATAAAAAAGAGAAAATACAAGTCCATAATCACAACTGGGAAATCGTATACCACTATCTCTCAGTGATAGAATAAACGGATCAAAGACACTAAGGATCAGAAGTTTTGGACATTATGCAAAAATTTAATCTAATTGACATTTATAGAACAACATACCCGATACCACAGAATATACTTCAAGTGCAAATGAAACATTAAGGTAGGTCACATGCTACAAACAAATCTGGCCATAAACAGTCTTAATATGTTTCAAAGGATTGAAATCACAGAGTACATTGAAACCACCATGAAATTAAAGTAGAAATCATTAACAAAGAAAGCTGAACAATCCCCACATATTTGGAAACTTAAGTTACATATGCTAAGCAAACCTTTGATTTAAAAAAAGAAATCACAAGGGAACTTAGAAAATATTTAGCATGGTTAAAAACCAGCAGACCAAAGTTTATGGAATGTAGCTAAAATAATGCTAAGTGAGAAATGAATAGTTTTAAATGAATATATCTGAAACCAACTTAAATCATCTAAGCTTCCACATGAAGAAGCTAGGAAAAAAAAAACCGAAAATTAAACCCAAAGTAAATAGAAATAAAGATAAGAGCAGAAATGAAATAGAAGCAATATAGAAAAATCAATGAAACCGAAAGTTGTTTCTTTGAAAAGTTTGATACAATTGATAAACAGTTAGATCAACTGATTAAAAAAAAAAAAAAAAAAAAAAAAAAAAAAAAAAAAACTCACTTTGTTGCAGAATTTTGCTCCTCACTTCATCTAAAACCAGGTTCTTGTCACACGACCAGGAAGGACTAGGAACATGGACACACTGAGGGTGAGGGGAACAACATGTATCGGGTGTAAAGGAAAAAAGAAAAATACTCTCAGCAAAGCGAGAGGGGGTGCTGCTGACAGGCCTCCACCTCCCAGACTGAATCCCAGGCCACCACACAGAAGCTGAAGAAGCCAGGCTCCTCCCCGCTGAGCTTACCTGTGGCTTCCCTGGGCTCTGCCTTGTTCTCCCAGAACACAGATGGGTTGGAGATTCTCCAGAGACCCTCCCCCTTATCTGTTTCCTGCAAGTTATCAATTTCAGTATCAGGAAATGAAAAGAGGATACAACTGAAGAGCCTATGTATATATTAAAAGGATAACAGAATATGTTTAACCAATTTTATGTCAACAAATAAACTTAGGCAGGGCGTGGTAGCTCACACCTGTAATCCCAGCACTTTGGGAGGCCGAGGCAGGTGGATCACGAGGTCAAGAGATCAAGACCATCCTGGTCAACATGGTGAAACCCTGTCTCTACTAAAAATACAAAAAATTAGCTGGGCATGGTGGTAATCCCAGCTACTCAGGAGGCTGAGGCAGGAGAATTGCCTGAACCCAGGAGGCAGAGATTGCAGTGAGCCGAGACCGCACCATTACACTCCAGCCTGGGTAACAAGAGCGAAACTCCGTCTCAAAAAACAACAACAACAACAATAAACTTAGATGAAATAAGCATGTTTTATTGAAAGGTACAAATAACTAAAACTGACACAAGATATAGAAGACTTGAACTATCACAGAAATTGAATTTATAAGTAAAAGCCTTCTCACAAACAAACAAACAAACAAGCAAACAAACAAAAAAACTCTAGTCCCTTATGGTTTTACAGCTGAATTCAACCAAACATTTAAACATTGAAGATGTTTTTTCGGACACAAACTTCTAGAAAATTGAGGAAGGAACAGTTTCCCAAACATCTATGAAACCAGCATTAATCATGATATGAAACTAACAATGCATTACCAAAAAATTATAGAATGATGTCCCTCTTGAACGCAAAATCGTCAAAAGGACGATGCATCACGACCAAACAGGGTTTATTGCAGCAATGTGAAGTTGCTTTAACATTTTTAAGAAATCAGTGTAACTTACCACATTGATAATCAAGAGACAAATCATCTCTACAGATGTAGATTAAAAACATCTAACGACACTGAACCCTCACACATGGTAAAACTCCCAGCAAACTTGCAATAGAAGAAAACTTTATTAGATAAAGGGTAGAATGAAAAATACAGTAACATTATACTCAAGAGAGGAAGATTGCACTCAATGCCGCTAAGATTGAGAACAAGGCAAGCCATCCTCTCTCACCACTTTTAGTCAACATTGTACTAGAGGTTCTTTTAAAAGAGCTGTATCTGTTGGGCGCGGTGGCTCAGCCCAGCACTTTAGGAGGCTGAGGCGGGCTGATCACTTGAGTGCTGGGATTACAGGCATGAGCCCCACACCCAGCAAGAGACTTTAAAAGCCTGTTGGAAAGGTAAAAGTGGAACAAACTCTAGTATTTGGATGGAGTGTTGGAGACCAGCCTGGCTGACATGGGGAAACCCTGTCTCTACTAAAAATACAAAAATTAGTTGGGCGTGGTGGCATGTGCCTGTAATCCCAGCTACTCAGGAGGCTGAGGCAGGAGAATAGCTCAAACCAAGGAGTCAGAGGTTGCAGTGAGCCGAGATCGTGTCACTGCACTCCAGCCTGGTGAGAGAGCAAGACTCCATCTCTAAATATGTAAATAAATTAAAATAAGATACAAAAATTATCTGGGCATGGTGGCACATGCCTGTAGTCCCAGCTGCTTGGGAGGTAGAGGCAGGAGAATCACTGAACTGGGAGGCAGAGGTGGCAGTGAGCTGAGATTGTGCCATTGCAATCCAGTCTGGGCGACAGAGTGAGACTATGTCTCCCCCACCCCGAAAAAAAAGAGCTATATCATGCACATGTATAGCCACCTTCAAGGATACTTTTGACTCCATTTGGACCATACCAACTCAGTGTGTTTGAATCAATGCCAAGACCTCTGACACAGTATCTGAAAATGTGTCTCGAACCTTTGACCCCTATAAATATATACATCTACATCAGATCTTCCAAAACCTTCCTTAGCTTACAAACCATGCATAAATACTCCCACGTGGGAGTGCTTCAGGAATCATCTCATCCTCCTAAATAAACCTCAAAACACTTATCCTTAAGCCTGAGAAGCACAGGGTTTTCATTATACCCACATTTCCTGACAAAACAAAAATAAAAGCATTGAATTTTTCATAGGTGAACTCCTTCTTCCTTTCTGGGATCATGTTTTAGGTTTGTGATCTCTGCTCCAGTCTGTGGCCCATGCTTGGTTTGACATTCTACTACCCGAATTGTGAGTGGGACAGAAGACAGAAACAGCCTTCCCCTTCCACAGAAGGCATCGCTCTTTCCAGCCTAGGGACAGTGCCCTCAAGCCTGGCTACTGGTTCCTATGACAGAGATCCCAGGAGCATATATGGTTCCCATCTTCACCTTCTCTTGTCTCATGAGCTCCTGCATGCTTCCAGTGAATTACCATTGTATTTCTAATAGCCACTGTCAATTTGTGAAGAATCTTTTCTGGTATTAACAAAACCTTGAAGAGTCAATGTATTGGCTGCTTCTTTTTGTTTTTTTTGTTGTTTTTTTTTTTTTTTTAAAAAAAAAAGCTAGTGGAAGAAAACTGACATTGAAGAATAAACAAATTTGGACTTGGAGCAAGTAAGGCCACAAATCCAAGTGACCAACTAAAGCCACCAGCTGGCACTGTGAGCTCTTTCTTCATCCACAAAATGGTGGTAGTCTCTGTTCTGCCCATTTCACAGCATCAGTGCTCTAACATGCGAGGGCTTTGCAGAGAAACTGATGGGTGTTTGATTTGAACAACTGAAAACACTACAGATGAGATGGACAACCCCAGATGCCAGAAACTGAATGTGTTGCCCCAACATTCATATTTGAAATCCTAACCCCCAAGGTGATGGTATTAGAAGGTGGGAGCTTTAAAGGTGATTAGGTCATGAAGGCCGAGGAAGACTCCTCACACCTTCTGCCACATGTAATGACAGTAGGAAGATGGGACCCTCACCAAATACCAAATCTGCCAGGGCCTTGATCTTGGGCTTTCCAGCCTCCAGAACAGTGAGAAAGATTTGTTTATAAGCCATCATCAGTTTGTGATATTTTGACATCAGAAAGGGACTAAGACACCAAGTTTGTCAGATTTTTTTTAGAGACAGGGTCTCTGTCCCCAGGCTGGAGTGCAGAGGCATGATCACGGTTCACTGCAGGCTTGATCTCCTAGCCTCAAGCGATGCTCCCACCTCAGCCTCCTGAATAGCTGGGACTAGAGGCACACATCACCACACCCAGCTAATTTTATTTTTTGTAGAGACAGGATCTTGGTTGCTCAGGCTGGTCTCAAACACCTGGCCTCAAGCCATTCTCTGGCCCCAGCCTCCCAAAGTGCTGGGATTACAGGCATGAGCCCCACACCCAGCAAGAGACTTTAAAAACCTTTCGGAAAGGTAAAAGTGGAACAAACTCTAGCATCTGGCAGCAGGAATACCTGCAATGATACTCCCACCTGCCTCTTAGCAGGTCATGTGGAAGTGGATGTGATTTCCTAAGAATCCTACAGAACATTGCATCCAACACCTGGAAAATGCTCTGTCAGTTAAGGATGACTTCTTTCCTGTTCTGGCCTGTTCCAGACAGTATTCTGCACATAGAACCTGCCTTAGAATTTAAAATCATCCGGCTTCCAAAAATGATTATGAAGAATGTAAACAGGAAAATAAATTGGGCCTAGAATGTAAAAGAAGATATAATTTATTAGATAAAAATAAGCCATCTAAATAGGGGCCCAGAGAGCTTCCTTTATTTCTGTAGGTACCTCTAGGCCTTCCCACCCCAACCCCAATAAAAACATTTTGCATATATAATAGCTAGCAAAGACTAAAAAGATGGAAAGCTTCCAAAGACAGCAGGCACTCAGCTACAGGAGGGTGATGACTGGGTCAGATGAGACCTTCTGGAGGAGTCCACCATTTTCTCCTAACAAGAAGACACCCCAGACTTCTGGGCCAGTGGCTGACATTAGGGGGTCCCTGAGCAAGTGACAGGCTGGAGCTTCTGGTTGGGAGGCAGGCGGCTTACTCCCTCATTGCATCCTCCAGCTGCTTCACTATCAAATCCTGCTTCTGCTCCTCCAGCACCTCACAGAACCGACGCATGGCTAGAGGGTCCAAACGGGGACAGAAGAGAAATACGGTTTAGTGGGTTTGCAAGTAGGTCCCAGACATATCCAGGTCACGGTCAACCCTAAGAGCCTCTCACGCAGGGATCCTGAACTTCAGCCCTCCCATCTTTGGGATGGATTTCCAAGTCTCATGTTACATCCCTGACTTCTTTTTGAATACCATTGTTATGTCTGCCTGCGAGACATCTCAATGTCTCGTATCAAAGCCTGTACTCTGGAGCTTATGGCCTTGGCCTAATCAGTGTCTCTTCACTCAGTCTACCTTCTATACGAGCTCAAAAGAATTCTTCAACAAAAACCTTCATGAGAATGAACGATTCACTGCTATGTTCCCGGCAGCTAGAACACCATCTGGCATGTAGTGGAATGTGATAAATAAATGTTAACATGAATGTCCTATTCTCTATAAGCTCAGAGAATAATCTAAACTCTCTGGAGGTATGTCCCCCTATGGCATCCAGGGACGTCCATAGTCATCTGCCTGTCCCATCTCACCTAGGGCTGCCAGCCCCACAAGGGCAGAGTACTAATGTTTAGCTTGTGATCCCAATGCCTCACTCAATGGCAGTCACAGAACAGATACCCCAAATGGGTAATGAATGGACAGGTGCTTGAGATACATATCAGTTCTTGTTTGCAAAAGCACTTAATTAAAGATAGACATGGAGGCCGGGCGCGGTGGCTCAAGCCTGTAATCCCAGCACTTTGGGAGGCCGAGGCGGGTGGATCACGAGGTCGAGAGATCGAGACCATCCTGGTCAACATGGTGAAACCCCGTCTCTACTAAAGGTGCAAAAAATTAGCTGGGCATGGTGGCGTGTGCCTGTAATCCCAGCTACTTAGGAGGCTGAGGCAGGAGAATTGCCTGAGCCCAGGAGGCGGAGGTTGCGGTGAGCCGAGATCGCGCCATTGCACTCCAGCCTGGGTAACAAGAGCGAAACTCCGTCTCAAAAAAAAAAAAAAAAAAAAGATAGATAGACATGGAAAGAGGGAATAAAGAAGGGCTAGATATATAGGATGTTTAAAGGCAGGGGGAAGTTGAAATATTACGTTGATGGGGCATCTTTAAAGGATCGGGAGGTCAGCTCCACTCACCCAATTTTAGCCGGGGGAGCTCATCTGCAAAGATGAGGCGGAACCAGCCTGGCTCCTTACACATGTAAGCTTTGCCACTGGATAACAACAGCTTGTGGTCCAGGAAGCGGCGATAGAGGAGCTGTTCTTCTTCAAATGTACAGGGATCCAGGTACTAGGTAGGGCAAAGGAACAGAGCTGAGCCCAAGACCCAAGTGGCAGGTCTGCCCAAGAACACTGGTCCTTGTTCCCAGAACTCACCTTTTTCAAGTTGATCCAGACATAGAGGCCGGAGCCACGGTTGTGAAAGGGAATCTCCAGTGCCTTCAGCTTAGCAGTAACGTATTTGTGAGCTTCCCGGAGCCGGAAGCGATTGGTGGGTAGGTACACTTTGTCGATCCATTCTGGATGGGTAGAGGAAAAACACTGTCTCAGATATTACCACAGAAATCTATGGAGAATTCCTTCCCAAATGCTCCCTTCCTGGGCTTTATGCAAAAAACAAGAAACAAAAACAAACCAGCCTCCTTCTGTCACCCAGGCTGGAGTGAGAGTAGTGGTACAATCTTGGCACACTTCAATCTCCACCTCCTGGGCTCAAGCAATTATCATGTCTCAGCCACCTGAGTAACTGGAACTACAGGCACACACCACCACACCCAGCTAATTTTTGTATTTTTAGTAGAGATGAGTTTTCACTATGTTGGCCAGGCTGGTCTCCAACTCCTGGACTCAAGTGATCTGCCTGCCTTGGCCTCCCAAAGTGCTGGGATTATAGGTGATAGCCACTGCACCCCGCAAGCTATTTCTAAGACTATTATATTCGAGCTGATGGTATCCACACCCAGTACACCCACTTCTTAAGCAAGGCTCCTGTAGAGACACGGAGCTTCTCAAAGTCTAGTAGGAAAGTTCCTTTTGAGTTTACAGCCCTGAGGCAAGGAGTCAATCCCCTAACAGGAGTGATAGCTGCTCTTGTCAACTGGGCAAGCAGCAGGGACTCACAGCTCCTACCTCTGGAGTCTGAGCCTCATACAGTGCAGTTGGAGGAATAGATGCATGCCCGGGGATGCTCTTGGCCCAACTGCCCTCAGCATTCATAGAACAGAACCACTTGGAGAGCTGTTAGAAGGCTTGATGCTCAGGCTATACCCCTAGATCATCTAAATCCGGATCTTTGAAGATGGAACACACATGTCAGTATTTAAGTTCCCTGGGAAACTCCCATATCCATCCAAGATTGAGGACGAGCATTCAAGGGTCTGGGATCTGGTTACCACCAAGTATCAAAGGTCTTGATATCTAGGGAACCAATCAGTTGGATTTCTCCAATCTACTTCTCTCCCCTCCCAGAGCTGAAAGCAAATTGTTTTCTAAACCAGCAAATATAATGACATTAGTTTGTTTCATCATATCCCAGCTATTAAGTAAAACTTCCAGCTTGGTGTCTGTTCTATTACAGGGAACCAAAGAAAGGGAGTCTCTTCTAAGTTTGGGCCGTGGCTCTAAAGGGGTAAGTCCCTTCTGAGGCCAGCATTCATTCGAGATCCAAGCAAGGGGAAGATGAATCCGGGTGCCACAGGCCCAGCCACACCAACTTGCCCAAATGGCAGCTCTCCTTTGGCCACCTTGGAAGATGAGATAATGTTGTATTGGAAGAGTCAGCGTGGTTTTTTTGTTTTTGTTTTTAATAATCTTTGTCTAAAGCAAACAGGGCTTTGGGGAAGGCAAATATATATTCACGTAAGTACTAATTTCTGAAGTTCCTACCTTCACAACTTAGAGTAGGATTCACCATCCACTTCTAGACAGAACACAAGCTATCAGAAATTAAAGCTCATCCTGTGTTTTTGTTATTGCTATTGTTTTCATATTTTGCAGGGTTTTGTTTTGTTTTGTTTTGAGATGGAGTCTTGCTCTGTTGCCCAGGCTGGTGTGCAGTGGTATGATCTCGGCTCACTGCAACCTCTACCTCTCCGGTACAAGCAATTTTCCTGCGTCAGCCTCTCAAGTAGCTGGAATTACAGGCATGCGCCACCACACCTAGCTAATTTTGCATTTTTAGTAGAGGCCTGGTTTCACCATGTTGGTCAGGCTGGTCTCGAACTCCTGACTTCAAGTAATCTGCCTGCCTCAGCCTCCCAAAGTGCTGGGATTACAGGTATGAGCCACCACGCCTGGCCTTGTCTTGTGTTTTAAAACAGCACCTCCGTCTTCTATCTACACCGTGCTGTGTTATCCGACCTCTCTTGCCCTCCTTCAGTCTTCACATCTTGCACAGTTAAATCTGAGACAGCAAATAGGGTCTCGGTATATATATTTTTTGAGACGGAGTTTCGCTCTTGTTACCCAGGCTGGAGTGCAATGGCGCGATCTCGGCTCACCGCAACCTCCGCCTCCTGGATTCAGGCAATTCTCCTGCCTCAGCCTCCTGAGTAGCTGGGATTACAGGCACGTGCCACCATGCCCAGCTAATTTTTTGTATTTTTAGTAGAGACAGGGTTTCACCATGTTGACCAGGATGGTCTCGATCTCTTGACCTCGTGATCCACCTACCTCGGCCTCCCAAAGTGCTAGGATTACAGGCTTGAGCCACCGCGCCCGGCGGGTCTCGGTATATTAAGGGCACATCGGAGCCCAAGCAAATCCAAGAGTTCCCCATAGCCATGAGGTCCGGCCAACATGCTGGCCTGCACCGGAGCTCAGTACCTGTGTTCTGGAGCAGTTGACACAGCTTGTGCTGGGTGATGCCAGAGATGCTGTGGAGGTAGCCGAAGGCACTGACCACAGAGGCTACCTCCTTGTTGTGGGTGTACAGAGCACCGAAGCGGAAGCCAGAGATGCCAAAATCCTAGATGAAGAAAAGTGGAACAGGAACAAGTGTTTTGTCTGCCTTCTATTCCTGGCTCCCTCCTCCTTCGCTAGCCAAGGAGAAAAGGTAATGGCTCACCTTACTGGTACCCCAGATCACGTGGGTCCTGCTGCGATCAGGCAAACTGAAGAAGAAATGGAAAAAATAACTAAGGTTAGAGAGAAATAGTTGATGAAGCTCTGGGGCCTACGAGGGGAAAGTGGACTTGAAGTTCTTCCTAGAGAGCAGGGCCTACAGGGCCCAAAATTCAGGAAACAGTTGTCCCAGTTAAGCCAGGAAGTCAACACAAGGTATCCCTGAAGACCTAGCGTGAGCAGCACCTGAGTGCCCACTGAACAAATCTAGGACCTTCAGCTTGATGTATGGCTCTCCTAGAGCCTGGCCCAGGCCACCTTCTTAGCAGTTGGGTCACCATCATTTCTAGAACATGCCTGAGTATTTCTTACTGCCCCGCCTTTGGTGAAGTGGTTCCTTCTGCCAGGCACTTCCATCTTTTGCTTTGATTGCTGGAATCTCATCTCTAGGGCAAGATACCATGCTTCAGAAGGTTCTGCCCCCTTTTTCTTTCCCTGTAGGAGCCTCATAAACTGCTCCTACCCTGGCATTTTATGAGCCTCTATTTTGACCTTTGACAGTAGACTTTCTACCTTGACCTCAAATTATCTTGTAGACAAAATAGCTTATAGACTAGAAGACGTTTAGGGGGAAAGATGCTGCTTTGCTTGTATTCACAGCCCCTGCGGGCAGTTAACTCTGTGCAGGGGCAGTTAACTCTGTTCCTAGCATGTAGGCAGTTAAGTTCATGTCACATGAACTCACCTTGCAAAACCAGAACCTTGTGGTTCTCATTCCCAACTCCAGCTGAGACCAACTCACCTTGTCATGCTGAGAACACTGTGGAATGTGATAGATTCATCAAAGACAGACAGCATGTAAATCTCATCTACGATCACATGTAGATCATGCCTGTAGATGAGACGGAAGAAGGAGAACAAGTTCTTGCTTCTCTCTGTCATCTTTTGTCTTTGCGTGCTTTTTACAAGCATCTTTGTCGTCTTAACTCATGTCTTTTATGGTGTTCTCTGGACACAGATCATGCACTCCTACTGCTCCAGCAGCCCATCTGAGCCTCCAAGGGGTACAGTAAGGTAGATGGGGTGGTACACCAGAAGGGACACTTAGACCTGGCTTGGGGGTACTGGAAAGGAATAGGACCCAAAAGACACATATGAAAGCGTCTTGTCTAACCTTAGCTAACCATTCAACCATCAAGCAGAGACTATGGGAAGAGGCTGGATGGCCCAGAGAATGTTTAACTGGTAGAGTCAGGAGCTCCTAACTGCATATGTGCCTCATTCATTCTCTCAACAACCCTCAGTACTGTCATCTTCATTTCAGATGAATAAACTAAGGTGGGCCAGGTACGATGGCTCACGCCTGTAATCCCAGCATTTTGGGAGGCCAAGGTGGGGGGATCACAAGGCCAGGAGTTCAAGACCAGCTTGGCCAACATGGTGAAACCCTGTCTCTAACTAAAATACAAAAATTAGTTGGGTGTGTTGGTGCACACCTATAATCCTGGCTACTCAGGAGGCTGAGGCGGGAGAACTGTTCGAACCCAGGAGGCGAAGGTTGCAGTGATCTGAGATTGTGCCACTGCACTCCAGCGAGACTCCATCTCAAAGAGAAAAAAAAAAAGGCTCTTTACAGGCTCTGCACTGTAAAGTCAGTTCCCTCCATTAGCAGGTGCTATAGCTGAGATGTGAACCCATTCTATCCAATTCTTGCCCACCCCCTCTAGCATTTTTCCTCCTGACCCCATGCTGCGCCATTCACTGGTCTGGGTTAGTCATGAAGTTTGACTGAGTCTCTTTCTAATGGAAAATGGAAGGTTATCTGCCTTAAGTAATAGGACTATTTCAGGACTCCAGAGAAAACTGAGGTTAACGTGCTTTTAGGAAAGGATCGTGAAGTCCTGCAGGAACACGTCTTCATCGCATCAAGGTCTGAGAGTCTCTTCCTCAGCCCCCCAGCCCTGCCTTTGGAAATGGATGCTGGGAGAAAGTACTTAAGCTTAAGTAGAAAAGTAACAAATCATGTATTTGTAAGTGACATTTTCCTCAGAAAACAAAACTATATTTTGACTGTTACGTAAATGTCAATACATGGACAGAGGCTAGAATGGAAATGGCAGTAAGTTTGAAGTGGTAGGTACGTGGTTACGTTTTCCTTCGTTTTAATTTCAGTTAGCTGCACATAACTCTGAAAAGTATGGTAAGTAAAGTGAGAAGATTTAGGGTAAATTACCTTTTTTTTTTTTTTTGTAAATTCCTTTTTGAGACAGTCTCACTCTATTGCCCAGGCTGGAGTGCAGCGGCACGATCTCAGCTCACTGCAACCTCCTCCTCCTCCCGGGCTCAAGTGATTCTCATGTCTCAGCCTCCCAAGTAGCTGGGATTACAGGCACCTGCCACCACGCCTGGCTAATTTTTGTATTTTTAGTAGAGACAAGGTTTCACCCTGTTGGGCAGGCTGGTCTCAAACTCCTGACCTCAAGTGATCCACCACCTCGGCCTCCCAAAGTTCTGGATTACAGGAATATGCCACCAGATCTGGCTCGTGACTTCTTGACTATAAGTGACGGGAACCCTTTCAAGGAACATCACCTAGTCTCAAGGGGTGGAACTCATACCTCTTGGCAAATTCCAGGTATTTCATCAGCGCGTCTGGGGAGTAGATGTCACCCAAAGGATTCTGAGGGTTGGTTAGCACAAGGCCTCGGACATTTTTTCCCTAAGAAAAACCCAAACGTAACTGAGTTAATACAAGTTATTTCGATCTACCCTAAATTCAGCCAAGGATCCTTTACAGGTCAGGACATCCAGGAAGGCCTATGTAGGATCTTGAAGCAGCAACTACTGTAATGCCCACAGAGGGAGAAGAGAAAGGAAGTCTGGGGCTGCCGTAACATCCCATAGGACTCAGGGATCCTAGACGGACACATCCCTGGATCGTTCACTGTCTCTTCTGACTTCTGACAGCCCACCAGGTCTCGGTGAACAAGCAGTACCAGAGTTTCAATACTCAAATCCCTTTTAGGACCAGCAGCGGTCACCCTAAAAATGTGGTTCCCTCCTTACCTCAAGCCTAGCTTTAAGCAGGGCTTCCTCTAACTTGTCCACAGTGAGCTGGAAAGGATAGGTATGTATAACAGTGATCTGGAAGAGAAACACCACGTAAGAAGTGTCTCTTAAAATCTAAGCCTTGATTCCTCATTCCCATAAACCCCAGACAATCCTCTGCCTTCATACCAGGGTGCCAGCCCACATGCCCTCTCCACCCCAATTTCTCTACCTCTACCCAACCACTTAGATGGGTAGAAAGCAAGCCCTTCTACTCCTTTAAGTGTCCCCAGAACAGTCCATTGCCTAGGGGTACAGAGCAGGGAAGAGGCCCCATGCGAACCTCACTCTCCAGGTGGACAGGAATCAATTGAACCTTCGCGTACAGGCGGGAGCTAAAGGCAAAACCACCATAGAAGGGCGTGGGGACCAGGAAGGCCTCTGGAAACAGATACAGAACCATCAGTCCAACGTCTTCCAATCAGAGCCTGCTGCCAGGCTCCCCAAACTAGCAAAGCTATCGACAGAAAAAAAAAGTCAGTTTCACGATCCCTTCCCAGAGGATTAATGTTCTTAGGTTCAGGTGCTATGGAAGTTATCCATTATTATCGACATCACTGGGGGAAATAAAACTCTAGTTTCTTTGTAGGTACACTAGAGACGAAGAGGGCAGAATATTATTGTGAATGGCTCAGAATTCAGGGCACAAATCAAGCTAGGCTCACTAGCAGGTGGAGCAATGGTTATTAGGAAAGCCTCATCTGATCCAGGCAAATATCAGATGTCAAGGTCCATGCACAAGGAGGGCTCCAGTCATTTGGACCTGGTGATCTCAAGTTCTTTTCTTCCCATCTGTTTGGACTTACTGGGGAGCTAACAGAAGACCTGCTCCTTTGCATGAAAGGGACCATCTTAGCCACTTGTTTTGATGCATCCAGAGCTCTTTAAGATTAGAGCCTCTTGCTTAAGCATTGTTACGGGGGAGGTTGAGAACAGTCCTTTCAACCTTGTTTGATCCAGGATTAGTTAACCTTTCTTTGAGGAGATAAGAAATCTATATTGTCTGAGTCCGTTGCCAGGGCTCTCTGTATCGCTGATGAGCCCAACCATGAACATAGTAGTAGCCAGCTTCCCATCGGCATTCCTGGGGCATACCTCCTTGAGGTCCGTCACGTCTCTCTTCCATTAAATGGGGCATCCAAACCCCTTGCTCCCACAGAAATGGGAAGGTATCCTAGTCAGTGTGGGAGAAGCCCCAGCACGTTGGGGGAAAGGCCTTGAGTCAAGATGCTCTTCTTCCTCAAAATCCAGTGCCCATGTGTTCCTACCCACGTGCCAGTATTTCACTGAGAGGGAAAGCAGAGCCCACTGACTTACCGCCTGGGTCACACAGAACCATGGCCAGGGCAGAGAAGACAGAGCAGCAGCCATTTAGAACAACCACCTGAAGACAACACACGAGAGGCAGAAGTCAAAACCAATACCCGTGTGAGAAGGGGTAGCCATGCTTTCTCCATCCCCCTGAGCAGGACAGGCACAGGGAACGTCCTCAGCTGGGACACACTGGCCTTCACACTGCTGTGACCCTGAGAGTCTCCACTGGTTCTCCTTGTACCCCCTAGAAAGGGCAGAGCATCCTCCAAGAATATAGCCCTCCACCAGGGTGACAGCAAGGCTGGGAAACTGACTCACGTTTTCTGGATCAAGGCGGGCAGGTGCCCTGCAGTAGTAGGTCAGGAACCTGGCCACTTCTTCCCGCAGGCTGTAAACAGACCCAGAGAGACCCTGTGGTTCCCGGGCCCCTTTCCTCACTCCTGGCTTAGATGGTCATTGTCCAACCTAACAGGGACCTTTACTACCCAGTCCAACCTCACATTACAGAGCTACTGACTGAGACCATCAACTCCCCAGGTCACACAGACAATAAATGAGAGTTGGGACAAGAACTCAGGCCTTTTGAATTATTCCTACTATATCAGGCTGCCTCCTGATGGAGTTTTGCTCTAGGCATTTTCTAGAAATTATTACTCAGAGAGATAGGGAGGTAACCAGCCAGGAATTTGGTGCCTTGAATCTTCCTTCTGGATAAGGACAGCTGCCTGTGGGACCAAGAGACCCTAAATTCTGAAGGTCACTTACAACGGCTGCCCTCTCCAATCAGGGTACTGCAGCAAGGCCTCCTCAACGCAGTTCATGTCACTTTCTTGCAACTGTTGACAAATAGAACATGAAGACAGGTAGGCCAGGGAAGTCCAAAAGGCCTCATTCTACTCCTAGTTCGTATGAGTGTTTGCCCTCCACATACATGGCCTTCCAGAAAGGGAATGGGTATATACTGCATGCTCCTTAATGGAGGCTGCCATCTTGTCATAAATTACACAGATACCTCACTGGGAAGTATTTGACCCAGAGGTTCCCATAGCAACTTACCCACCATATACCTGATCAGAGAACACCTCTGGATGGTCAGCAAGGCCAGGAGGTTAGATGTGATATTCTAGAAGCTATTTCTCCACTCCTTTTCCCAAGCTCCTGTGTCTTACCCCAGTATCTATCACAGCCGAGATGCACACTAGGGGGGACTAAGCCTTAAAGGAGTGGGTCCCAACACAGCCCAGAACACAGCTTACTCTTTCAGCCATCAGGTCAATGCAGAGCTTGTTCTCACTGGTGCCAAGGTTAATGAAGCCCTGGAGATGGAAGGAATTGAAGATCAGTTTGATCCTCTTGTTCTACCCTAGATAGATCCCTCGAAACATGCTAATAAATATTCATCTCGGACTAGTTCAAATGGAGATCTCACTGCCCACAAGGCAATTCAATCCATGTCTGACAACTTTAAGTGTCAGGAAAGCTTTCCATGAACCCAAAATAGTACAGCCTGCAAATTTCCTCCGTAGAGCCACATAAATAAGTTATGTCCTATCAACCAGTCATTTGAGTTCTTGTTATGTGCCAGACACTAGACCAAGTGCTTCACGTGAGTTGTCTTAATTCCTGAGAAGAAGGTTCTATATGATCCAATTTAAAGAGTGAAGGTTAGAAAAGTCAAATAACCTACTGGCCATGTGACCTTGGGTGATAGGTAGAACTCTACCTACCTGACGCCCAAGCCTGGATCCTTAATCTCCAAAGCCCCTACCTACCTCTGCAACTTCTCCTTACACATTAGGGCCTTCTAAGTTATTAGAAGAGAACAGAGATGGGAACAGAGAGAAAGGCATAGCTAATGTTACCCTCCACCCTCTGTCTGGAGAGCTGCTCGGGACTCCACTTTGCCGTAAACCTTTCTTCAGTTCCCTAACACCCTTAGGGTAACCTCCTTTTTCTTTTTCTTTTTCTTTTTTGATATAGGGTCCCACTCTGTCACCCAGGCTGGAGTGCAGTGGCACAATCTCAGCTCACTGAAACCTCCACCCGCCAGGGTCAAGTGATCCTCCCACCTCAGCCTCTTAGATAGCAGGGACTACAGGTGTGCACCACCATGTCTGGCTAGTTTTTGTATTTCTTGTAGAGATTGGGTTTTACCATGTTGCCCAGGCTGGTCTCGAACTCCTGAACTTGAGCGATCCATCCACCTTGGCCTCCCAAAGTGCTGGGATTACAGGCGTGAGCCACCACGCCCAGCCCCTTAGGGTAACATCTTAACACCTCCCATCCATCTCTGTCCACACCTCCTGCCACAGCACCAGTGGTCTCTACTCTGGCCACTGGACCTCCTTTCCCAATCACTCCTAGCCCTTCCCATCTTAAAGATTTCACATGTGCTGTTTCACATCTGTCTGGAGGGTCATGGCCATGGCCATCACCTCGTGGCTGGCTGATTCAGCCTTTAAGACATCTTCCCAGACCACCTGAAGTGGGCATCGCTTTCATGCTCTTGGGGAAGTTATTAATGCCTGTGCCCCAGTGGCTGACTCCATTCATCACTATGCTAAGTTCCATATGGGTAGGCTTATTTGCCCCTGTGACCACAGGGACTGACTCCTAATAATTAAGAGCTAAGATTCAGGGAGAGGGAGGGATTTGGGGCTGGATGGAATTCTCCAACTTTCTGGGGCATGTCATCTTATTTTTTCAGTTACTCCCTTATCTGCAAGATGACAAGAGTACCCATTTCATCAGGCTATAAAGAATGAGAGCACATAGAACACCTGGCACAGGACTCAATAAATCCAAGTGACTGGAGCCCATGAGGACGCTGCCCATCCTCCACCCCAAATTCTCACCAAGGTGTTCTTATCCTTATGATATTTGTCTTTTTGGTAGGCATTATAGTCCTGGAAGCTCGACTGGTAGAGGGCAGAGATGTCAGTCCCACGGTTGGACAGGTCACGACTGACAAAGGCAGCTTCACAATCACTCAGTTGGGGAACTGGATCAAGCTGCCCAGATAGTTGAGTCCCCTGCCCATATCTGACATCACCCCTAGAGTCCTCGGAAGGAAGAGGCACTTGGAGCTGCAGGCCACTCGTGGCCCCAGACTGTAGGAGGTTGATCATCTGGCACAGTAAGTGACTTAGGAGGGCTTCCTGCTCACGGATGGCCTGGGTGTGCCTCCGTTCCTGCAGCAGGCCCTGCCTGTTCAGCTGCACAAAGTGCTCCCTCACGGTCTGCTGCACGTGCCGCGCCACCTCCAGCAGCTGGGTATAGATGCTCTGGTCTCGGAGGACCTGGCTTCTCGTCTGGCCAGAGGGCACAGGAAGGGTATCTGACCGATGACTCATACTCCAGGTATCTGTACTGGCCTCTGCAGGCTGCCGGGCACCTACAGAGAAAGAGACCATGCATTGGAGCAAAGGAGGATCTCCTGGACCCTCAGGTCCAGAAATGGATGGAGACAGAACAGATCTCAGGCTGGTTCTTCTCACTTCCATGCCTTGGTTATACGACCAGATTGGTTCAGGAAGAGTTACCTACTTGTTCGGGCAATGAGTACGTGGTCCCAAGCCTGGACACTGTGCTCTACTTAAATGGCATTAGAATGTGTTCTGAGGAAGACTCTTAGGGTCCACTGTGAGAGCAGGAGGATATGAACAAGGAAACTCCGGAATCTCCACCCTGTTCCTCAACCTGAGCGGCTCCTGCTTTGTCCAGTTAAATAGGAAAAAAGGGTTTCTACTGTTCAGAAACAACCAGCATCACTACCCACTGAGTAAAACATTCTGCTAGAATAAACTACCGCCTGAGGGCCAGATCTGGCCTGACACTTATTCTTGTAGATAGTTTTATTGGAGCACAGCCCATTCATTCATTTGTGTCTTGATTATGGCTGCTTTTGTACAACAATGGCAGAGTTTAATAGTCGTGACAGAGACCATACAGTCCATGAAGCTAAAATAGTAACTGTCTGGCCCTTTATAGAAAAGGTTTGCCAAGCCCAATACATCAGCCCTTCTTTTTGCCTGTTCTTCTCCAGGTTGGCCATACCAGATACTCAAAGCCTTTTTTTGAGACGGAGTTTTGCCCTTGTTACCCAGGCTGGAGTGCAATGGCGCGATCTCGGCTCACTGCAACCTCCGCCTCCTGGGTTCAGGCAATTCTCCTGCCTCAGCCTCCTGAGTAGCTGGGATTACAGACACGCACCACCATGCCCGGCTAATTTTTTGTATTTTTAATGGAGACGGGGTTTCACCATGTTGACCAGGATGCTCTCAATCTCTTGACCTTGTGATCCACCCGCCTCGGCCTCCCAAAGTGCTGGGATTACAGGCTCGAGCCACGGCACCCGGCCTCCTCAGTTCTTCTATCCTTTTTTGGCTTCCTGTAAATGCCTGCAACCTACTCACTGCAATGGCTGCCTTAGGCTTCCATCACTTGTAACATGTGCTAGGGACGTGGCTCACTTTGACCATCAGAATCAGCTGGAGAGCATGGTAGGACACAGATGGTGAGACCTCACCCCTGAACTTCGAGTCAGTGTGTCTGGGGTGAGACCTGAGAATCCTCATTTCTAGGAAGTTCCTGGGACTACACTTAGCAAAAATAAAATAATAAAATAAAATAAATCTTTTTTTGGAGGGATCGGGTCTTGCTCTGTCACTCGGACTGAAGTGCTGTGGCACGATTATGGCTTACTGCAAAAGCCTTCCAAATATTTGGATTAACCTTCCTTCTGAAAACAAGTCAAAATATGGAACAAGACCAAAAAATACCTTCTTAAAGCCTCAAAGAATCAATAAATGAGAAAGCAAGATCCCAGAAGGTAGTAAAGATTGAGGCCAACAGCTGCCGCTGCTATTTAAAGACAATCTTCATATCCCAAGACACCAAGAACCTTTTTTCTAAAAATCTAGACTTACGCCCCTTCCATCAAATGCTACAATTCCAAGTTTTTTCCACTAAGTAACATCCCCCTACACACACACATACACACACACACACACACACACACACACACACACACACACACACAGGCACCAGTACTTCGGAGTAGCACTCTGTCCAACTTCTGCAAACCTTGTTCAGTTTGCTTGTGATATTCCCATTGCAACCTACACCTTCCCTTCATAACATTTAACATTGTTACTTGTTCAGTGTCCGCTCAGGTCGGCCTTCATTATTACATTCTTAGCACACCACCTTAGCACATAGGCAACTAGCATAGTTAATGAGTAGGAGACGCACAATCACAAGGACGTTGCCAAGTCAGGGAAGAGATGAGCCACAAATGAAGACTTTGGCCACGGAAGATGAGCAACAGACAGATAAAGCCACAGAACAAAGCTGTATCAAATCTTGACTTAGGATTCCAACCTTTCATCGGCGATGCAAAAACTTTATTCAGTTTTAGGAACATACTGATGAGAAAGAAATTGAACAAATATGAGTGTTTATGCCTAGACTAACCCTCTCTTCCACAAGCAAGACCTTTGCTCTGGCCCAAAATTCCTGTCCTGGAAGAGATTCATTTCAATGGGGCTCTCAACTCTGTAGGTAAGTCACACTGTCTTTCCAAATACTTGATTCATCAGAGAGCAATTCAAGGGCCGGGTGAGATTTCTTTGGTTTTGCCTTCCAAAATGTGGTGCCTGTCATCCCTGTCGGTCCTGAGGAGTGCAAGTGGAAACAGCCAAGGGGGATGGTAACCTCCCTCCAATGAACAAGAAGTTATTGCCACCAGGCATCTTCTTCCTTCTCCCGGGACTAGAATTACATATTGAGTATCTTTGTCCTGTGTCACCTTAACAACAAAATCAAAGATGGGCCAGCTCTTTGGACAGCGCTCTGTAACATCAGCCAGCTCAGCCCATGGTCCCAGAATTTAAGTAGTTATTCCAGTTCAGCTAAATTAGGGGCTCTTAGACTTCTTGCCCTGGAAGTCCCTGCTGTTACCAAAGTCCCACTAGTCTGTGCCATCTACCCAGCACTCAGCCAGGGACTCCAGGCACATAGGAAACAGGATGGGGCAGGGAAGCTGGAGGACAGTAGGCAAACGGAGGAGGAAACTTGTTTAAAGTAGAATGAGAACTTCCTGGGGCAGGTTTGCCTAGCAGAACATGGGGGCCAAGGCAGGTAACTGAAAGTAATGCATTTTCCTGGTGAAAATGTTTTGGTTTGTGTTTTTTGGTTGGTGGGGGGGGGGGGTGTTTGTTTTCAAGATGGAATCTCATTCTTGCCCAGGCTGGAGTGCACTGGTGCAATCATGGCTCACTGCAACCTCTGCCTCCTGGGCTCAAGTGTTTCTCCCGCCTCAGCCTCCTGAGTAGCTGGGACTACAGGCACATTCCACCACACTCAGCCAATTTTTTGTGTATTTTTTGTAGAGACAGGGTTTCACCATGTTGCCCAGGTTGGTCTTGAACTCCTTGGCTCACGTGATCCTCCCGCCTCAGCCTCCCAAAGTGCTAGGATTATAGGCACGAGCCACCATGCCTGACCCCAAAATGTTATTTTCTGATAACAAAGGGAGTATGCAGCAAGGCCAGGAGTAAACCTAGAAGCTGTTCTTCTGCCAAGACTCACCTTTCTATGGGAAAAGGTCTATCGTAAATGATGCTGTTCCACAAAGGCAACAACGCCCCTAACCTCAGCCCTAAACTGTGTGGTATCAGGGGTATACCAATCCTCTCCTCAAGTCTTCTTGGCTGTACCATTGGTTTCAATATTCCTCAGCCTCCCACCATCTGTAGGATCCAGCCCTACAGGATTCTGTGAGCTGCTCCCGGCTGGTGTAGAGATGAGAAATTGTAGAAATAAAAGGCACAAGACACAGAGATAGAGAAAAGAGAGTTTGGGCCCAGGGGTCCGCTGCTACCCAAATCACAGAGACCAGCAGTGGCCGAACGGAACGCCAGGACGCTCTCACTTTTATTGAGTTGCAAATCAGGGGGCAGGGTAGGTAGGGCATGGCAGTGATAGGGTCAAGTACATCACGTGTCATTCAGGTAGGGGCTCAGGAATTTCTGGCACCCGAAGTGAGGTAAGGAGCATAATGCATCAGCACCTTTTTCATACTTAACAAGAAAGAACCAAAACATTAAGATTTATATTACTATTACTGATGATCTTTTCTAAGAAAAAAGGAACCAGGTGCAGAAGCAGAATATGAGAGTAGCCATGGAACGTGACCACTGAAACACAGCATCACATAGAGACAGTGAAGCCCCGGGATGTCTGCGGGCCTCCTGACAGCCATCAGGCCTTACCGCAAGAGCTTGGAGAAGAGGAATTTTCTCCTAACTTCCCCAGGAAGGAGATGTCTCGGCCATTTTGGACATCTCCTCCCCTAGCTGGCTAAACATGGGGCGCTTTCCCAGCGCTGGCGCTGCCGCACAGCTGAGGCGCCCTCCAGCAGCCCTCATGTGGGCGTGACAGAGGGCTTAGAGCATCTTGCTTCAGTGTCCTTCATTTCACAATGTCACCCCCGGTTCATACTTCCGAACTGAGAGGCATTAGTAAAAGAATTAAGATGACTTATGAATAACTAAGATCACATTTGAATAATAACAACTACGGTTACATTTCTGGTTAATTTCGTCTTCATTATTTACAGGGAAATAGGCAGAGGCCTTCTGCTCCTGCCTTGGCGCTTATGGGATCTCCTCCCTACAACCACCTACCTTTCAATTCACTCAGGGGCCTTCTATAGCAGCTATAGTAGCAACAATAAAACCAGTATCCCAGGATCAGCCCAGTGGGCACCAGCAGCCTTTTGGCAACAGCGGAAAGACAGATCAAGAGTAGAAGCTGGGAAGGGGAAGTGAATGTTGGAAATGAAATGGGAACAGGCTGGCCTCCTGTTCACTTTTGATGCCAGCACATGGGTGTACCATTTACAGGAGGATAATTCTAATATCACTTTCTCTAGTGCCCTCCAAGCCCTTATAACTCTACCTCGGCCTTCCAGCCTTCCTTCTTCTTGCCAGACGCCAGCCTCCTCTGGTGTCAGTATTCTCACCTCATTCAGATTCCTCCTTCTTGGTACAGGCAGCTATGACAGGGACTGCAGTGAAGTAAGGTATTCAGGGATACAGATCCCTAAATACAAGGTGCAAATTGAAAGCTCAGGTAGAAGTACCCTTGACAGGCCTAGGAGCTATTCTATAATTGCTGCTTACTAATTATAGGATATTGGAAGAATTTCTTCCTGTCTGGGCATTAGTTTCTCTGTATGTAAGATGAGAAGACACTTATTTCAATTAGATGTGATGAAACTGAAGCCTAGTGAAGATAAGTAAATTCTAGGGTCTCATATTAGAGCCAGGATTTAAACCCCAAACCTCTCATTTTAGCCCTAGGAAGCAGAGTGAACCAGAAGTAAAAGCAGTCTTGCACGAACCG